ACACCAGCGGGCTGGAGGACGTCTGAAGTGCTGACTAGAATATCAAAAGAGAGAAATGTTGAAGAGAATGTGAAATGTAATTGTCCTATCCTTTCAGAATTTAAAAAAAGAGAGAAAGAGCACACCTACCTCTATATTCAAAAAGGCACTGTCTTGTTTGTTTCCAAACACACCGCCGTACATGGTGAAGTCTTCTATACTTAGCTATAATAGGGAGAAAAGGCAACATGTTATTTTAGCAATAGCTTTAAACTTAATTTACAATTACTTTAATTGGTATGCTTATCTTCTAGTTTTAACTTAAGACTTTAAGAACTTGGTGGTTGTTTATAAAAGTTAAACAACAAGAACATTTGAAATGTTGCCTTATTTTCTTCAGTTAATATTTTATTTCAAGCTTAAAGTTTATGTTTTTTTTTTCAGTTAAATACAAATGTAGCTGCTCCACTGAATAAAGATATTTTGATAAATGTTATTTTAGTGTTACTGACATACTGATTACTATTATACTAATTATTAATGTTTTTTATTTTTATTTATGTCATGCTCATTTTAATTTTTTACTTTTAAAATTTTTGGTGTTTCTTTCATTTGTATTATATATGATCCTATATTTTTAATCATATATAATTTCCAGTTAAATTCATTTTGAAATGTTGAAATGAAAAAAATGCCCTGGGATTGTAACAAGCTAAAATAAAATCTTCTTTGTTTTAAATTACCAATATTTTTTTTATTTCAGTTAACAATTATTTTATTTCCAAATATTTTTTTTAATTATTTACAATTTAGCTTTTGTTTAATGAAACAACCTACTTTCTTACAAGTATAAATGTATTTAAATGAATGGTATTTTAGTATTATTTATATACAGAGCTCAGCATATACAAGTACACCCTTACAAATCTATCTGTTAAATTAAGATTTTTAATAGGAAGCTATATAACATTACATTTCTGCATATACATTAGATTAGTCAGTACTGAAGCCAAATCTGGAGCTAACCAAACAAAATAATTTACGATAACGGTCCAAAAAAAATTGTAGCTCAAATTTATATGTTATAGAAAGATTTTAAATACAAATTTTAAAAATGTTTGCAATATTTTGCTTGAATTTAACTGTATTATCTTTCGATTTCTAAATATGTTTGGTGACTAAAATATTATATTAATAAATATATCTGTTTAATATATCTGTTTGTTTAAACGCATTAAAATACTTTGCCTATATTCACTGAGAAATGGATACAAATGTACTGAGTGTACTGGGTGTACTCAATTATGCTGAGCACTTTACTATTATGTTATGTATTTATATGTGGTTCATATTTATAAATATTATTTATTTTTATTTAGTTTTTTGTTTTTGTACTTAACCAATTACTTGTGTTATCTGTCCTAACAAATACCCTTAATGTGTTTAAGTTTTTGAAATTTAAAGTTTTTCTATCTGATATTGTTTATTTTACTCTGCTTTTATTTAAATTTTATAGTGCTGTATAGCTTTAGTTTTCAATAACAACACCGATTCAGATACCAATCACACTTCAAGTCAATCTTTCACATCTCTGGTGTTTACGGTTGCAATAATACAAAAAATCAGTTCCCACATGACTACGGCTATATGAAATACTGGTATGTCCACAGGAACACGGATAAGGGAAGTAAGACTGTGGCTCAAAGTCACACTATACTGACAAGTCCAGTAGCTGTGAGGGGAAAAATATCATCAGAGGAGGAAACTGCTTTACTAACAGTTCAACATCGTAAAAATACATTTCTACTACACCAAGTACATTTTCTTATTATTATAGCACATATTATTTTACATTATCATATTTCCAAGGTTCCTTCAACCCATAAAGGTTCTCACAATTTCAGAAATCAACTTTCTAAATGACTTTCTAAGTGTTAATTATTTTGAGAAACATGTTTTACCTTTATGATGGTCTTTTTCTAACATACACATGTAGTCCATTATTTTATTTATTGAAATGGCCATGTAACTTGATAATGCTGTATTTTACAACTCATCAACTATTTTAATGGCAAATTTGCACAAATATAAATTAACTATGTGCGTTTTTTCTCCACCAAATTTAACATTTTACCTGATCCTGTAGGAAGATTAGCACATTGTGTGGAGCAGTGGACAAGGCAGATCTCAGATAAGACACCAGCTGCCCACCAGACACTGTGTGCCCAGCTGCAGCTTCAGCCAGATGTGGCATGCTGGACCTTTATGTACAAAGATTTCATTCAGTTAGAAGACTCTCTCAACAGAATCAGGCTGACTTTGACTTCATCCACAATATCGAACCACTGACATTTCTAAAAGCTTTTCAATTCATAAACAGAATCTACCAAGTTAATGTTAGTCGACGTAGCAGCCTGAACATGTATTATAAAATGCCTAAGAGTAACTTACACTGGAGTACTTCAGAAACAAATCTAAAAGCGATAATTAAGAGATAAACGTGTGACGTACCCATCACTGGTCCACATAAGAAGAGGCACTTGAGCATAGCAGCTATAAATCGAGCAGATAAATAATAAAACTGAAGTGAAGGCCATTGTTAAGAGACTACAACGCCGCATTCCTACTTCCGTCATTCTGCTGGAGAGTCACGTGAATGGCGGAGTTGTCGTTGTCACGTGACCATTTTTTTTTCTATCATATGATTCCCTTCTGACTCGATTCGTTCACGTCCTCCGAGTCTGAGCAGTGCGCAGGCGCGGGATGCGGTGTGCACATCATACTAATAACTAACTATTTGCTCATTCTCTAAACCAGTGGTCCCCAAAGTCGGGACGCCCAGTTGAGTCGCGGGAAAATGACATGGGGTCGCTTGGTGATTTCTAGTCAAATAAAGATTATTTAACTATTAGAATTACCATACCATATTAATTATCCATAACTCACAGAATGGAAAAATAATAGTTACATAAAAACAACAACATACAAATAAAAAGCCATCAGCCTTTCAGTTTTTTTTTCAATAGGATTGGTGTGTTTACATTAGATAAACAACACATCAATAGTGTTAGGTCCAGCAGATTGAGTTCATAACAGCAGGTTAAACTTTCTGACACCTTTATTGCAATCATTAGTCATTCATTTTCTTTTTGGCTTAGTTCCTTTATTCATCAGGGGTTGCCACAGCGGAATGAACCACCAACTTTTTTTTGTTTTGCATATGTTTTATGCAGGGTGACGCAGTGGCGCAGTAGGTAGTGCTGTCACCTCACAGCAGAAAGGTCGCTGGTTCGAGCCTCGGCTGGGTCAATTGGCGTTTTTGTGTGGAGTTTGCATGTTCTTCCTGCGTTCGCGTGGGTTTCCTCTGGGTGCTACGGTTTCCCCCACAAGTCCAAAGTACAGGTGAATTGGGTAGGCTAAATTGTCCGTACTGTATGAGTGTGAATGAGTGTTTGTGGATTTTTCCCAGGAAGAGGTTACAACTGGAAGGGCACCCGCTGCATAAATTGGTGGTTCATTCCGCTGTGGTGATCGCGAATTATTAAAAGGACAAAGCCGAAAAGAAAATGAATGAATGTATGTTCTTTTGCAGCGGATGCCCTTCCAGCTGCAACCCATCATTGGGAAACATTGATACATATTCATTCACATGCATACACTGCGGACAATTTAGTTTATTCAATGACCTATAGCACATGTCTTTGGACTTGTGGGGGAAAACGGAGTACCCAGAAGAAACCCACACGAACACAAGGAGAACATGCAAACTGATCTAGTCGAGGCTCGAACCAGTGACCATCTTGCTGTGAGGCGACAGTGCTACCCACTACGCCACCATGCTCCCTTTTTGGCAAATCAATTACATTAAATATAAATACAATCCACAAGTAAATATTGGGAATGAGCGCAGAGAGTGTCTAGTGATTAGTGCTGAAAACATTGTGTCCACGAGTCTCTTTAGGTGCGGTTAATATTAATTTAAATTAATAAATTAATAAATGACAATAAAATGATATAGTTGTTGTATTGTTGCTCTTTTATGTGTTGTCAATATGCTCGTGTTTATATAGGCCTATGTTGTGTGCACAATATTTGTATATTTAAAACAACCTCAGGAATGTGGGGGTCACGAGTCACTGCCACTGTTATTTTGGGGTTCTTTCTTTCTTTTTTTCTTTCTTTCTTTCTTTCTTTCTTTCTTTCTTTCTTTCTTTCTTTCTTTCTTTCTTTCTTTCTTTTATCTATCTATCTATCTATCTATCTATCTATCTATCTATCTATCTATCTATCTATCTATCTATCTATCTATCTATCTATCTATCTATCTATCCATCCATCCATTCATCCATGTCTGTCTGTCAAATAAAAAAGCTGCTTTACTTCTTTAAACAATGTAAAAAACAATAAACTTAACATTGTCAACAACTGGTGTAGATTTCCCTGAAGATTTTGTAAAAACTAGATTAAATCCTAATGCTTGCAGTGAATGTTTGTGTTGGTGTACTGTAAATATGTGTGTGCTCTAACAACAAACATGGTAGGACACAGTCAATTCAGGACCAATATAATGGGCTATGGGCCTACATATTGACAGAGTCTCAGTCAGTCATATGATCACACATCACTCATTTTAACCTATTTTATTACTTACAACGACGAGAATATTCATTTAACAAGAATCTGCACTAAAACAGCGCTCATTTATCATCATCACTTTAATTCACGCATTATTGATGATAGGGGCTTCATTCAGTGTCGCTGGCGGAGGGATATCTGGTGCTGTGACTGCGCCCTGTGCCATTCAGATGTAGGATGGGGAAATGAAAGTGCCACCGAGTGTTATCCAAATACATTCATTAAGACTACACGGGATGTAAATTATCGTTAATAGTTTTGAAGGATCTGCCTTTATGGCCACTTAGTAATTGTCAGTGAATGACATTCATAAAAACTTCGATCATTTTCGTTTTGGGAAACGCGCTATATTATTTGGCGCATGTGTCCGCACCGCTGGAGCTCGTGCCGCGGTCAGGGCCATCTTTGGTTGTTCTCGCCGGTCGCACCACAGTCAGTGATCATTTGTGATACGTATCAAATTGTTTGAGCGATAACGGTTTGCAGAGAGTTTGCTTTAGTCGCTGATAGGACAGCTGACTGGTTCTGAATAAATATTTTGTTGTATCAACACCGGCTCGCGTATTTTTTTGCAGCGGAAATTTGACTAAAGACGGGAGATCCACTGTAATACAACATGGATGAGGAATATGATGTTATCGTATTGGGCACCGGACTCACAGTGAGTAACGCATTCAGGTCACTCGTTTGCCTTGGAAACAGATGCAGATTTTGTCCACGAAAACTCGCATGCATGTGCTGGTTATAGAGATGTGACCGTACGAATAGATGCTTTGCGATAGATTGAACCCGAGGGCCTATTGCTGACGCATCCTTTGGACCAGTACTGTATATGTGTGTGAAGTGAGGCAGCATTTCTAGCAATTTCTGCGTGTAAACGAGCTCAATCCATCCCAAATTCATCTGCCCTCGAATATTCAAAGCCATTAAGGCTGCATCATTATAGTGACATGAAAGCGGTTATTAAAAAGTAATGACTGATTCTCCCCTCAGTGTCTGGTTCTAAGGAGTGGCATCAGGTATCCCGTTTGCTCGAGCGTCGAAATAGCGAAAATGCATTAGTTTATTACAGATGTTTCGGCTTTTGTGGTATGCCAAAGCAGCGACGAATATGCATTATGCTTAACTGGTGTTAGTTCATTGTTGGCTTTTATGTCATGCGGTTTGTTCTGGATTTTAAGTGTATATTTTTGCTTTTCTTATATTCTGTAATGCCAAATTTAACATATGTTCGAATTTGACACTGGATAGATACCTAAAATAAGCATGCTTAATAATAGAATTAGAAGTGTTTTCATCAAAATGTTCCTTTATTTTCCTCATGGATAGCGGCTGAGCTGGGCTGCGGCTCGTAATGTGGGCTGGGTGTAGCGTTGTTCGATTCATGAGTCGGATCTTTTGTGACTCAATCAGAGCGGGGATTCGCCCACCGACTCGTCTTTAGCTGATAGACATTTTATAAATACTTAAATGTGAAATTAAACACATGAAAAAATGCGTTTACAACGTGACTACATTATATTTTAACAAGCATTTGTTTTCAGCTCTCATTTTGCAAATGTGTAATTTAGCATAGTTATGATATAATTTATTAATTTATTATTCCATGGCTGCAATAAGCAGAACTAGAACCGAAAATTACAAGGAGCAGCCTTGTTAATAACTCTAAAGAGCATGAAATTGACCACGCTATGTTGTCAGAATGACGTAGACGAATCATGAAGCGTAGAACGCTTCTTTAAAGAGAGAGCTGTTCAAATGAACCGAATCTCAAAAATGACTCGGACTTTCCATCACTAGTTGGGTGGGGTAACTCGCATCCCAGTGTTCAACACGGAAGTCAAGGCTAAGGATACCCGCTGCCATGTCAATAGAAATGGAAACATATATTATATCAGATTATTTCAACCTAATCATGTTTATCTGTGTAGGAATGTATTCTCTCGGGGATCATGTCTGTGAACGGGAAGAAAGTATTGCATATGGACAGAAATCCATACTACGGGGGTGAAAGTTCCTCCATCACACCCCTGGAGGAGGTGAGGATGCTTCACAGTCACTGCAGACACTAATCCAATCTCCTGTCTGCTTCATAGTGCACTTACAATAACCAGAGTTAGGTAAAAACGATAAGCTATGCATTTTAACATGTTATTATTTTGATATTTATAGTAATATAAATACAAAATATGAATAAAATAAGATACTTAACGGAAAAATATTCAAACAAATTTGATGTTCATTTATATTTTAGATATGTCTTTAACTCTGCTTCATATTGCACGTATTAACTATAATTTAGTTGTTGAATAAAATTAAATGAGCAATGCATTTTAACATCAGTCATTTCAATAATTTTTTTTAATAAAACAATTTAAAAGGAATTTTGAAAACAAATGAATAGAGATTATCTCCCAAAACCCTATCATCTAATGTTTGTATTTTTATCTTATTTTTTTACATTATTCTTGTTTTTTGCATTTGCATGCATGGTTGCTTTATTATTAAATATGCATATATTAACTATAATTGTTCTGCCCAAGAGTTAATGTTCATATAAACATTGCAATGCTTTTTAATATCTATTAATACTTATGTAAATGCTTTATAATGTTTAATATTTATATAAATGTATAAAATCACTTTTATTTTTAGACATACAATTACAAAATGCCTGCTTGTTAGCAGATAAAAAATATATATATTACTAAGGAATCAGTTAATTTCTTAGTTATAAATCAGTTAATTTATGAAAGAAACATCTATTAATACTGTACTATTACTATAAATTTCACTTTTAAAAATCCCTTTAAAGAGTTTTCTCTTAAAATATTATCTGATTGTCACTCATTGATTTATGCTTACTTTTGATGCACACACTCATATTTCATGTTTTTCTCTCAGCTCTATAAGAGATTTGGGATTTCAGACAGCCCTCCAGAGTCAATGGGCCGGGGAAGAGACTGGAATGTGGACCTTATTCCTAAATTCTTAATGGCCAATGGTAAAAATGCTTAAGTAACTCAACTGACAAGACTGTATTTATTAGACTGAGGTCTTTTATTCATGCAGCTCTTTAATTTTCATAATATTTTTTTGTCATTGTTATCTCCCTTAAGGTCAGTTAGTTAAGATGCTTCTATACACTGAAGTGACCCGATATCTCGACTTCAAAGTGGTCGAGGGAAGCTTCGTTTATAAAGGAGGAAAAATCTACAAAGTGCCCTCAACTGAGACAGAGGCACTGGCTTCAAGTAAGTACAAAGAACATGTAGGATTGTTTTTGTTAATAAAATCGTCATTTAACTTACCCGTAACATGTTGCTCAGACCTTATGGGAATGTTCGAGAAGAGACGTTTCCGGAAGTTCCTCGTTTTTGTGGCCAACTTTGATGAGAACGACCCCAAGACCTTTGAGGGTGTCGATCCCAAACTCACAACAATGGGAGAGGTGTACAAAAAGTTTGACTTAGGACAAGACGTCATCGACTTCACAGGACATGCCCTGGCCCTCTACAGGACAGACGAGTAAGTGTCGCTAGTGTTAAAAAACTCGGTCAAACTTTACAATAAGGTTCATTAGTTAATAGGGGTGTCACGATTTCGATTTTTAATCGAAATCGATTGAAATTTATGCTCAATGTCTATTATCAAATCAAAAAATAGAATCGTCGATGCTGCCACGCCCCCATGTCACATCAGCTTGGCTTGCCAAGCGGAAAAAACAGGCTTGTTGAAGTGCTTGTTAAACTGCAGAAGCAGGAGACCCGTCGACAGAACTTAAACCCTCTCCTCTTTCAATGAAGTCGCCGGTGTTTAAGCATTTTGGATTTCCAGTGAGTTATGTTGACAACGTTCGTGTTGTCGACAAAAAAACACAGTTTTGCAAGCTGTGCTATGTACGTATTACGTATGGTTGGTCCAGTAGACAACACCGGCATTGCGGTCCTCCGCCCGCCCCCGTTGCAAATCCGCTCGCGAAAAGTACACACTCAGGCCCTGTTTACAATGTCTTTGTTTTTAAATGGCATTTTAGAACGACAACGATTTGACATCCACAGTGGCGTGTAGCATTTCTCAGCCCTCCTTCCTCTCTACCTCTGAAAATGCACATCACGTGACCACACAGACACAGACGCACACAGCCATGCGCTCGAGACAGCAGGTCCAGGCAGTCAGAGGACTGCTTCAATCTTTTACTCACTTGTACTTTGTCATTTTAGCGAACACCTTAGATACTGTTGGCTGGTTCCTGTTGGTTGTGCGTCTTTTTTACAGACGCCATTATAACGACACAGATCACTGCCTATTCACGAGTCCCGCAGAAAAAGTGATTGACAGGTGGTAATTATGTGTGTATCTTGCCTTTATTCATTTACTGTATGATTTGTTTATGGGTAAAACAAAGACCATGCAGGTCAGGTAGTTTAAACGGTAGGCTACAAATAATTAATTGGTCATTAATTAATTAATTATTCATAATCGAAAATCGAATCAAATCGTGCCTTTAGAATCGAAAATGTAATCGAATCGAGGATTTGGAGGATCGTGACACCCTTATTAGTTAATGTTAATCAGTGCATTTACTAACATGAACAAACTATGAACAATACTTTTACTACTGTATTTGTTCATGTTAGTTAACGTTAGTTAATGAAAATACAGTAGTTTATTGTTAGTTCATGTTAACTCATGGTGCAATAGCTGATGTTAACAAGCATGGACTTGGATGTAAATAATGCATTAGTAAATGTTTAATTAAAATTAATAAATGCTGTACATGTGTTGTTTGTGATTAGTTCATGTTAGTAAATGCAGTAACTAATGAACCTTATTGTAAAGTGTTACCAAAAACTCAGTATTGTGTAAAAGATATCAGAGTCTTATCATTGGTTCCAAGTGTTCAAGGGATAATTCGCCCAAAAATGAAAATTTACAAATGTTTTGAAATCTTTATGAGTTTCTTTCTTCTGTTAAACACTACATAAGATAATTTGAAGAAAGCTGAAAAGCAGTAACCATTGACATCCATAGTAGAAAAAACAAATGGAAGTCAATGATCAAACATGTTCAGCTTTCTTCAAATGATCTTCTTTTCTGATCGACAGAAGAAAGAGATTTAACCATGTTTGGAACAAGTGAATGATGGCAGAATATTGATGACAGATGATAATTTTAGGTGAACTATCACTTTAAGGCAAGTAATGTATTTGACTTCATAGATTTCAATTTCAATACCTTTCATTGTCACAAGGTAACTTTAATTAAAGGGCAGTCATTTTATCCTACAAAGGCAAATGACCTTAACCTCAGTAGAGTGTGGAACTGAGAAAAAAAATACTTTTAACTATTTTGTTGTCTAGTCAAATGAATTATAGTTAGAACACTGGAAATCTCACAATTACGCTCAATTCACACGGGGCTTCAGTGTCAGCGCTTGACTGGGGGTGTGTCTGAAGTTGGAGCTGACACGGTCATCATAGCAGCCTCAGCCAATGAAATTAGTCCCCATTCAGCTACTGTCTGAGCTGGGATATTTGCATAAAGTGATCTGATTGGCTGACGCTTCCATTGTCGATTGAAAAGTTGAGAAATTCCCAACTTCTGTAGGGAGCAATGCCACTGAAGCAGCACAGACAGATCCACAATTCAGTTCGGCAACACTTGATGTCACCCAATCAAAATGAATAGGAACCATTGACGCTGATGCCCCATTTCAATGGGGTGTTATAGAAAAAGAGTTGAAGTCAGATTTATTAACCCTCCTGAGTTATTAGTCCCAATGTATATATTTTTGCCCCATTTTTATTAACAGAAAGAAGCTTTTTTTCAACACATTTCTGAACATCAAAGTTTTAATGACTAATTTGTAATAACTGATTTCTTTTATCTTTACCATGATGCCAGTGCATAATAATTTACTAAATATTTTTAAGATACTACTATTCAGCTTAAATTAACATTTAAAGGCTTGACTAGTTTAATTAGGTTAACTGGGCAGATTAGGCAAATCATTGTACAATGATGGTTTGTTCTGTAGTTGATCAACTTAAGGATGATCAACTTAATTGTTGCTTAAGGTGGCTAATAATTATGAGTTCAACTGCATATCTTGAGATAAAGAAGGTCCACATTCAATTCAGTTCAATTCACTTTTATTTGTATAGCGCTTTTACAATGTAGATTGTGTCAAAGCAGCTTCACATAAAAGGTCATAGTAAATTGGTAGTTCAGTTTTTAGTGTTTAAGTTCAGTTCAGCTCAGTTTAGTGTGGTTTAATGATCACTACTGAGGGTCTCGACACTGGAGAGCAATCCATCGATGCGCAGCTTTACAGATCCCAAACCATGCAAGCTAGTGACAACAGCAAGATACATGATAAAGGATGTCCACTATCTCACTACAATATCAGTAACTTATCTTCAGTCAAAGGTACAGTACTTGCACAGCAGCATTGATTCCCAGGGACATTTACTTTACAAGTGTTACGGCAGTTTTTATAATTTCTTTATTAATTGTATCTGTGCTGGCAGCTGTAAATTCAACCAATGACTTCAATCTATCAGAATACTGCTATTAACATGATGTTACCCATAAATCATTACCAACAAACTATAAATAAATGGAACATTTAAAAAATGAATGCAAATCCTTCAAGGAGGATTTAAAGAGCACAGAGTTCGGTCAGAGTGTGCACACTCAGCAAAACTCTGACACTTTGAGAGCTGACTAAACTAAACCCAGCTGACCATTGCATTTAACAGTGCAACAGAAATGTGTGTGATTGCTTCTGAGGTTCATTGCTGCTGCTGCAAAAAAGAAGAGAAAAAAAACGTGTACAAAATATTTAATTGGTTTTCTGATTTGAATCATGCTTTGATTGTGCAGAGGCATTCTTTGTCCCCTTATATGAATTTGTGCGGTTTTGTTATTCATTTTTGGCACAAGCCTCTTGAATGTTCAATTTTGAAAACTTCACAACAGTATCTTCAGGGATCATTTACTTAAAATCAGTTTTTCTGCTATACATTGGGCCAGAAATCTTCACTTTAATGTTAGGTACACCAAATTATACAGTTTTATTCCCATCTAAAACAAAATATATGCAATGTTTTAATGTGTTACTTATAAACTGATGAAAAAGAAAAAGGATATGCCAAAAAAAATCAGATTCCTGATCTGAAAGCATGCAAATGAAGACATTTAATTAGCCTAACTCATCTAAAACAGAACATTTGTTAATATATTGTTGCATAAATTACACTGTGTTTATGGTACTTTGTTACTTATACCCTGATTAAAAACGTGATTCAGGCTTTAGTCTGGAAATGTATGCAAATGAAAACATATTTAATTAGAAAATGCCACATTTCCATGTCTGAACATGACATTTCTGAAATGATGTACAATTATGTTAATGTACAGTGATTAGTAAGGTGTCATCTAACTCACATTGGTATATAAGGTGCATTTTATCATTTCATGGTAACACTTTATTTTGATGGTCCATCATTTAACTGACTATAAGAAACTTTGTAAGTACATGTCAACTTACCCTAACAGTTTGCTTATAATCTAAGGAGAATTAGTTGGCATGTAGAAGCAATGTATCTTAAATTCAACAAAAGGACCATCAAGATAAAGTGCCCCATTTTATTAATAAATATTATAAAATAGGCTAACAAGTGGCTCTAAATAAGTTTGAAAATGTGCATTTTCTTAAATTGATCAGTATTCAGAGCAGAAAAGGGATGACAAATATACAAAATAAACAGAAACTATAGTGCCATTTACTGTAAGCTTAAACAAATCCACATAGAGTGAAGCTGAAACTAGTGGTGTGTGAGAAAAGCGCTATACAAACATTCAGCACAAACATCTCATTGGCACCAGCGCACATTTTGCTTGCTTTACATTAACTAAATTATACGAGTGCATTTGGAATGGTAGTCAGAGCACATTTCAGATGTGAAAAAACACTTGCATTTAGAAAATATAGTTAAAAATGTATCCCATTTATCTGCAGTATCTGTTCTCTTTTGCAAGTAAGTGATATTGAATTCTTTTTTTCGTTGGTGATAGTTACCTTGAGCAGCCGTGTCTGGAGACCATCAACAGGATTAAACTGTACAGTGAATCTCTGGCACGTTACGGGAAGAGCCCATACCTGTACCCCCTGTACGGACTGGGGGAACTGCCTCAAGGGTTCGCCAGGTCCGTCCATCTCCCCACACAAACATCCTCAAGTAATCATAAGCATCATTGTTAAGTGTGAGTTACAATATGGTATATTCCAACAGGTTAAGTGCAATTTATGGAGGAACCTACATGCTGAATAAACCAGTGGATGAGATCGTGATGGAGGGAGGACATGTGGTGGGAGTGAAATCAGAGGGACAGGTGCGTTTTTTATTATTATTTTTAAGTGGGAAGGATTTACTTTATACTGTAAAGATGCATGCACACCAATATAGATTGCTGGCTGAAAGAAATAGTTAAAAAGATGACAATGGAAAAGATAACCCATATATTACGAAATATTCATTTAGGGATCTTTTCAATTGAGTTGGAAATGTGTTGGTTGATGAATAAGAAGGGTCATTATGCATATTAATGTAAAATACTGAAAAGTCGTATTTTGTTGTTGGTTTATTTTAATTTTATTTATTCCCTTCTTTCATTTTTGTTCTTTCTCTGTAGTATTGATGTCCAAATGTGTAAGTGTAAAGTTAATATATAAAGCCATTATTGCAAATATTTAATAATATACAGTGCATCCAGAAAGTATTCATAGTCCTTCACTTTTTCCAACCTGATAGAGCTAGAGAGGGCCAAAATTCCTAAAGACAGGTGTGCCAAGCTTGTGGCATCATATTCAAAAAGACTTGAGGTTGTAATTGTTGCCAAAGGTGCATCAACAAAGTATTGAGCAAAGGGTATGAATACTTATGTACATGTGACTTTTCAGGTTTTTTATTTTTAATAAATTTGCAACAATTTCAAAAAATCTTTTTTCACATTGTCATCATGGGCTATTGTGTGTAGAATTTTGAGGAAATAAATGAATTTAATCCATTTTGGAATAAGGCTGTAACATAAAAATGTGAAAAAATACGAAGCACTTTGAACACTTTCCGGATGCACTGTATAATCTATAAAAATATATATTAAAAAAACTGTAGGAAGGATTTAATTTCTTTAATTTTTAAGATGCATACTTTGATTTTTAATTTTACAAATTGACAATGCATGTATTTAGTTTTGAAAGGTTTAAGGCAGAATTTCAGTTTTAAAATTCATTGACAATATATCAGAGTAAATTGAGATCTCAATCATCTGTTTTTATAATTTTTTTCTCTAAGGTTGCCCGCTGCAAACAGCTCATCTGTGACCCGAGCTACATCCCAGAGCGTGTGCACAAAGTCGGCCAGGTGGTCCGGGTCATCTGCGTCCTCAGCCATCCCATCAAAAACACTAATGATGCCAATTCCTGCCAGATCATCATCCCTCAGAACCAGGTTAACCGCAAATCAGGTTAGTATAAATATATATATATATATATATATAGTATAAATCAGTGGTCTCAACTCTTGGAGGGTAGCAGCTCTGCACAGTTTAGCTTCAAACACCACACCTGCTTAATAGCCTTTAGTAGTCTTAAACACCTTGATTAGTTGGATCAACTGTGTGTGTTTTGGAGCAAAACAGTGCAGAGCTGCAGCCCTGCAGGAATCTAGTTTGAGACCTATGCTATAAATGCATTCCAGCATGTGTGCTCCAGATCAGGCCACTAGTCGCCACTAGAGGGGGCTGCTTCCTTAAAAATAAGCAAAATGTGTGTGATGAAAAGGTCATGCTTGTTTTGTTGTTGTGGTTTGTCTTCAGATATCTACGTTTGCATGATCTCCTATGCCCATAATGTGGCAGCTCAGGGGAAATACATTGCCATTGTAAGCACTACGGTGGAAACCTCGGATCCTGAAGCGGAAATCGAACCTGCTCTGGAGCTCCTTGAGCCCATTGACCAGAAGTCAGTTTAATTATTATTATTATTATGTTGTATTATATTATTATTATTTGTTTTTTATAGCTTGTGTTTTATTGAAAGACTTGGTGCTCATATTCAGTTAATGTGCACAATTACAGTTAAAGTCAGAATTACTCGACCCCCCACCTCCACCCCCCCTTTTTATTTTATTTTCCCAAATATTTGTTTAACAGAGATTTTTTCAAGACATTTCTAAACATAATAGTTTTATTAACTCATTTCTAATAACTGATTTATTTTATCATTGCCATGATGGCAGTAAATAATATTTGACTTGATATTTTTCAAGACACTTCTATACAGCTTAAAGTGACATTTAAAGGCTTCACTAGGTTGATTAGGTTAACTAGACAGGTTAGAGTAATTAGGCAAGTTATTGTATAATGAAGGTTTATTCTGTAGACTATCGAAACTAAATATAGCTTAAATTGGCTAATAATTTATCCTTAAAATGGTTTTTAAAAAATGAAAAACTGCTTTTATTCTAGCCGAAATAACACAAATAAGACTTTTTCTAGAAGAAAAAATTTTATCAGACAATACTGTGAAAATTTCCTTGCTCTGTTAAACATCGTTTGGGAAATATTTAAAAAAGAAAAAAAAAAAATTCAAAGAGGGCTAATAATTCTGACTTCAACTATATGTGAATAATGTTGCTTTGATCCAACAGGTTTGTAAATCGAAGTAAATAGATGTTTAACAAAGGTTACACGCCTTTTCAGGAAAATGTGACTATTACATATTAGTTTATTAAAAACAAGATATATCACACTACTCAAAAGCATAAATCCAATTTTATTATTTTGTTTTGTTTACAGGTTTGTGGCCATCAGTGACATGTATGAACCTACAGACGATGGTACAGAAAGCCAGGTCAGTCTTAGTTAATTCAATATTATTTTTATATATGATTGAAGGATTTATTATTTTATCAAAAAAAAAAGGAAATTCATCAATTTTTTTTTTATTTTAAATGAGAAAATAATGGTTTAAGTATACATGTATAGAGTTTTATAGTAAGACTTTTACATAAATCTAAATGGCTCCTCTTTTCATCTCAAACTAAAACTTCACTCAATGAGAATCAGTTGATCAGATAAAACATGGTTTTAGTTTAATACATCATTATAACTTTTCTAAAATGAATTTTGAATGCATTATTATGAGGGTTTAATTTCTATTCTCTATGATGTTTTTTTAGCAAATACATTACCTATGTTTTAGGAACAACAAATAATAACTTCTAGTTGATCATTTGGTGTCAGAAGTGGCTTATATGAAAGGCAAAAGGCCTCTAGATTACGCTGATTTTACCTAAATAAAATATGATCATGCCTTGATTTTTAATAATTTAATAAGGACAGTGAAGTCTGACTTTACTTAGACAAAAGTCTTGTCAATAATGTACAGTATAGAATATAAAGTCATAGTGCAGTGGAAAAATAATTAATATTGTGTTTGACTTCCAAGAGCTTGGATGACTGCATCCATACATCCTCAATGATTCAAATAACTTATTAATAAAGTCATCTGGAATGGCAAAGAAAGTGCTCTTGCAGGACTCCCAGAGTTCATCAAGATTCTTTGGATTCATCTTCAATGCCTCCTCCATTACCCCAGACATGCTCAATAATGTTCATATCTGGTGACTGGGCTGGCCAATCCTGGAGCATCTTGACCTTCTTTGCTTTCAGGGACTTTGTTATCCTGCTGAATAATTTGCCCCCTCCTCTGATTTGTAATGTAATGGGCAGCACAAAGGTCATGATACTGCAGGCTGATGATGTTGTCATCCACTCTGCAGATCTCTTGCACGCCCCCATACTGAATGTAACCCCAAACCATGATTTTTTCTTCACCAAACTTGACTGATTTCTCTGAAAATCTTGGGTCCATACAGGTTCCAATAGGTCTCTGCCAATAGGCAGTATTTGTGATGATTGAGATGCAGTTCAACAGATGATTCATCAGAAAACCTCCTGACACTTTTCCAAATGACCAACTAGAAGTCAAGTTATTATTTGTTTCTCTTACAACTGGGATCGATGATAAGACTTTTGTCAGGTAGTGTTTGTGCATTTTATTTCCATTTCAATCAAGAATCTAATTTGTTTTGTCCGTCATCCTTCCAGGTATTTGCATCGCGGTCCTACGACGCCACCACTCACTTCGAAACAACCTGCAACGACATCAAGGACATCTACAAGCGCATGACAGGCAGTGACTTCGACTTTGAGAACATGAAGCGTAAACAGAACGACGTCTTCGGCGAGGACGAGCAGTGAGAGGTGGAGAAATGAGGGAGGAGTGGAGAGCCAATGCAGAGATGAGACAGGCTGAACGTGATTTACTGAGGTGACACAAAACAAAATCCACGACGCTGTAAATCTCTTTCAACCGGCCTCATCTATCCATCCCAGCGTGCTCTTCGCTCGTTGTCTCCACACTCCTCCGGTGTTCCTATTCAGATGCATACAGTTCAGCACACAGACACACAAAAGCTCTATCGCTCACATTCCACTACAAAGTCTGCACTACAAAGTGGGCTCACACCAACATGCTATTTTAGATCCTCACACAAGCAGTATGCATTGTTTGTGCAAAATATCCTGTTGAAGTGAAACACGCGTCTTTCCGTTCTCTGAATATCGTCTTTGACTGAAGCCCGTACATGTGAACGATTCCTCCGATATGGATGAAGACCGAAAATGATTTTTCAAGTATCCCCAATCGTCCTCAGACTGTTAGTTTAGCGTAGTGTTTCTCAACCATGTTCCTGTAGGACCACCAGCTCTGCCAATTTTCCACGTCTTCTTAACCAAACACACCTAATTTAGTTTATCAGGTCATTAGCAGAGATTTAAAGACCTGTAATGGGTGTGACAGGTAAAGAAGACATCCAAAATATGCAGTGTTGGTGGTCCTCCAGAAACGTGGTTGAGGAACACTGGTTAGCGCACTGTTTCCCAGCTTCATGCGAACTGCAGCCTTCCTGTACTTTGGGAAAGTGTCATATATAGATTATTAAAACACTAAATCCGAGAAAGGATGATACTATTAAACAATTATGAAGTCAAAAACTGAACTGACAGTCTCATATCATTACATTTCCATTCCTAAACTTATTTAATTCTTTATTATTATTATTATTTTGGACAACTAAATTGAATGAGATGTATAAAATGCAGTATAGAAGTGAATCGTAAGCCATTACCTTGTAATTAACATTTGTGCTAATAAAAAATAAACACTGAAAGGCCTGACAGTTTCAACATTCCTCATCCTCCTGCTATTATTATTATTATTATTTGTGGTAAAATAAAAAAAAAAAATGATACAAACAATGGATATCAAATGCTAATATGTGAAAAAAATCCATTTGTTTGTTTCTGGGAAAATAGTCTTAAGAACGTGGAAGCAGTTTTCTCTCCCACAGCTTCCATAGTCAATAATAATGTGAATTTAATGAATATCAGATCTTTCGGGATTTAATAGTAGCCATATCCGATGCTATTCTGGCTTTTCCATACACAGTTTCAGTTGTGATGAACACTATTCCTCTCCCTGTTTGCTGTAAAGATCCTCACTGCATCATGCAATCAAACCGCGTCTTTGATTTACATTTTAACAGCGGCTGACACATTTACACTCGGTCAGTAGAAACCACTAGACAAACGTAGGATAAGTCATATTCACCTGTAGCTCTACTCATGCTCATGTTTGATGATTTGCCATTGATAGTTCTAGGAAACACTAGCAGATGATCATGGTGTGCTGTTTGAACGCTCACTGTACAGCTTCCAGTGTAGAATATACAAGCATTGTCATGTTGTTTTTCCGCCTTTGCTAAGAAAAAGAAAACCCTCAGATGGTAGTTTTTCCCGTTTTATTTTCAATGGAAAACAAGGAGTGTGACAGTTTCATTACATTCTTGAATTTTATTGGGCCAAAGTCACTAATGGCCTTATAGATTCACATACAGGTCTTGAACTCTCTTCCTTAGTGCACAAGTTAGATTGTGAATTAACGATAACTGGAATCCAATAGAGTTTTGCTGCATTGCTATATTTGTTTTCTTTTGCACCTCTCCAGCATATTGTCACATATGTTTGGATTAACTGTTTTGTACTGTATTTATTTTCATTTTGTCTTTCATTTTCAATGTTGAACAACTTAACATCTTATAAAAAAAACAAACTGACACACAAACTCGACAATTTAAGTTGTGAATTTCATCTCGTGTTTGAGCAGTCTTGTGCAACAAAAAATAAATATGAATAAAATGAAACTCGCTCTTTGGTTACGTTTGATTATCTGCCTTTCCTAACAACATTCAGTACTCATAACTAGGCCCACACGAAATCTGCACGTGCAGAAATCTGCTGATTTTTAGCCCATCATTGAGTCTATTTATTTATTTGTGTAAATGTGTGTACATTTTAGTGGATATACGAGAGACTTGCTTTGTTTACCAATTTAGTGGATCTGATTGGATTTGTGTTGTAAACATTAAAGGGCACCTATGATGAAAATCATCTTTTTTGGACAGGACTGTGTGCAGGTATATTGTGTCCACAGTCATATTGAGTTGATATGTACACAATAAGTCTCTTTTTTAAATTTAAAATAGGATTTTACCATTTTAAGGCCGACCGTGACGTTAAGTAAGAGTGCAGTGCCCCGCTCATCGAATTAATTGTCAGACGCATATTAACATTTCTCAGTAGTAATGTATATAATCATATCCACAAGACAGGACAAGCGCAAAGCAACTGGGATTAAAAGATCTGTTCAGCTCTCTGTAATCAGCATCAAATGTGATTAAGAATGAGTATTACAACTTAGTTTAACATGTTTTTAAATCAGGCTTATTTTGTACATTACCATAATGGATAACCATACAGCAGTGGATATTAACGTGTATCCTGTCACATTTGCTGTGCAAAAATAGTGCAAAGTTAAACGCGTGCGCTATGTGTGTGTCCACTGTGTGTGTGCATGCATGAACTTTGTAACAACATTATGTGTGACTCATCGTTGCAACTCCACAACAAATACATCAAATAATAATCATTGGGAAAGTTCTTACTGTAGTTTTTTTCAAAAACGTTACGGGAGATCTGCTTCCTTCATGTCTGTCACTGTGCTGTTTATCTTATGCGTCCATGGCGGAGATTGAGGCACACCCTGATAGGCACGTTGAAATGGTGGGTGGGTAGAACCCGCATTAAAGGCACAGGCAATAAAAATAAACACTAAATAGTGTTTAGAGCAGACAATTCCAACATTCTGAAAGGTATATTGAATAATCTGATGGGTGTTTTGAACTGAAACTTTACAGACACATTTTGGAGATGCAAAAAAACTCATCTTAAATATTGAAAAAGGGGTAAAATAGGTGCCCATTAAATAAAAGTTAAAAATGTATTATTTTAAATTCATATACTAAGTTTTTATTTATGATATCTCAAAATCATTCCGCATGAATCCACAATTTTTTTATTTTTACAAAATTCTGTGCAGAAATAGAAAAAAAATGTCTGTCTGATTCTGTTTGACCCTGGCCATAACTAATAATGTTTAACTAATAATAATTACACAATCCTTGTTGTATTAATTTATTTTATTATATTATAAGCCGTATATAAACAAATATATTAAAACTACCTGGAAGCCTAGAATAAAATATGTAATAACTAGAAAATATTGTGATCGTTATCTATATGCCAAGGAGAATATTAAAAAAGTGTTTCAATATAAATTATGAAATCAATCTGCATGATATGCACGACTCAAAAGTTTGTGGATGTTTATATTTTTGTTTTTGAAAAAAGTCAAAGTTTCACCAAGGTCATGCTGATTTAACAAAAAAATAACAGTGATATTTGGAAATACTATCGCAATTTAACAAAATTACACTTTACTAATTTTACAAACTTCATATTACAATTTACAAAGAACTATTTTCTATTTAAAAACACTTTACACTGTTATTGTTTTCACCAATACTCTAGTCTTTAGTAATGTTTGTTTAAATGGGATGAGGTGACTTTTTTATGGATACAAGTCTGGCATTCATGCGGAGTAATACTTAATTTCTTAAAAGAAAAGAAGACTTTGAATGTTAGCATACACAAACATTTAAACAAAGCATTAGGTTCAGTCATTCCTTTTGAAAACATCTTTCAAATGATCACAGTTTGGATATTCATAGTCTGTTTTATCCCCAAAGATTTTACACAGTCTTTTCTATAAATTGTTGTACCTCTGTAGATGTGTAGATATGGATTATCTATTGGCGATCCACCACATAGCTTTCATAGGACTGTTCCAGGAGTCTCTCTACATCCACCTTTGGCACAACCCAACATTGAGACAAGTGTCGCTTTTTGGTAGAGTCTTTCAGGTTTGTGTTTTGCAGAGTGACTGGCAAATGCTTGTCTCCTTTCTTCAGCAATCCGAAAGCCAATGAAGTGTTCTTATTTGTTTGTGCATGATGGAAACCAACCTGATTCATTCCCTTCGTGACCTCTATATGGCTATGTAGAAACTGTCCTGCAAATGGAGCACAATCTCAGATTGGAACTTCAGAAATGCTGAAAAGCTATTTGATATTTCACTGACTAAAAATGCCATTTTACCTACCCAACAGCCCTTGAGTGTGTCGAGAAAGTCCAATTCCTTCTGCAATATAGAAGCCCAGGTGCTCCACCTGAAAGTATTCGGGATGGTTATAACGATGGAAGAGAATAAGGAACCGAACACCGACCTCGAGCTCAATCCAACAGCTGTGATGCTCTTCAACTGTGATTCTCAAGCCATGTTGCTCCACCGATCCTCTCTGATGGGTTGGCAGCCTCTCCATTTCATTCCCTTCCACTTCCACTACCACCGAAACCGAGGTTAACGTGATCATAGCAGTATGTTTGACAGCAGTGATGGAAATTCTGTCAAAAAAGGTACGATTACGATTCTCCATCCCCTTCTTAGGAGGTCCCAGAATTAGATGCCCATCCACAATAATGCCTTGAAGAGATTCCAATCATGTTAAAACATCTAAATAGTATTTTGTGCATCTTGTTTAGCTTACATGATGGATGCAAATAAATAAAACCACCTTTTTCTGGATCCTCAAGTAGCCGTAGGACATCATCAGCCCTGCCATCAATGGTAAAACACAAGTGCTGATCTTGCTTTGGGAGCTGAATCACGAAATGTGGGTCTCCATCCACTTTCAGAGACACAAAACACTGAGGTGTGTTAATCAGTCACTTATATGAGATTATAATACTCTAATCACATCTCAAAAGTGCCTAAGGTGGAAGCATTTAATTGGATTTTCTGTCCTGGAGTCATACCTGATGAGGAGAACACTCTAACCGAACTTAAACTGGGTGGGTTGTTTGGGTCTGTTGAAATATTTTAGATATACCTGGATAAAATGAGCTGCTTCTGCTGAATGCAATAATGAATAGTTACACAAACAATAAAGCATAGTGCTAAACAATAAAGTGCTTACCAGACACTTCTGCATCTGGATCTGAAAAAAAAAAAAACAGATCCAAAAACTGACATAACAATGGTCACTAGTAGCTGAAAAAGTAGAATAAGCAAACACTCGTAACTCACATGACTCATAGTGGATGTTGTAGTCATAGTCACGTGCTGTATCATAATCTACAAAATAACAATGCGTCTTTGACTTTCATGATTAGGTAGCTCTTGTATATATTTGAACAGAGGAAAATAATATTTACCTTGAACAAGATCAATATCAATATCTGCATGAAAGATAAAGAAACATGATCAGATACTACAATATTACCTAAATGACCAATGAACATATGTGTACATGTGGCTAATAGCACAACCTTTTTTTTCAACAGTCAATAAATGTTTGCCAACTGTTTGCCACTGCACTGACCATCCCGACTGATAGCATTGGAAAACCTAAATTAAGCTATATGATGGCATTATTATCTTCAGACGAGCCACTTTACAGAATCACATTCTGTAACATTGAGATTGGTATTCTAGTAAAGTTCAACTCCCAGCTCAAAGTGCTTTGGCGATCCTATTTCCCTCTCTCTGCCCCTTTATTTCTTGACTACACACCCTACTGTCCTATTGAAAATCCCTAAAGAATTTTACAAAATTTTACAAGTCATACAAAACGCAGCAACATGCAGTCTGTTTGTAAAAACCATTGATTGTTCCAAAATAAATGGGATAATCTTATTTAACCAGTTGAGAAAATAAACAGGCTTTGAAACTATTGTTACTTTTTAACATTGTGTTGGCATCCTCTACTTCTTGTATTGTGTTAATTTAGAAAAATTATCTGCTCAAGTCCATTGTTAATATACCCTCACCAGCCATTTTCCTAATGAGCCAATCACATGGCAGCAACTCAATGCATTTAAGCATGTAGACATGGTCAAGACAATCTGCTGCAGTTCAAATTGAGCATCAAAAAGGGGAAGATAAGTGATTCAAGTGACTTTGAATGTGGCATGGTTGTTGCTGCCAGACGAGCTGGTCTTAGTATTTCAGAAACTGCTGATCTACTGGGATTTTCACACACAACCATCTCTTGGGTTTACTGAAAATGGTCCGAAAAAGATAAAATATCCAGTGCATGGCAGTTTTGTGGGCGCAAATGCCTTGTTGATGCCAGAGGTCAGAGGAGAATGGCCAAACTGCTTGGAGCTGACTCAGATGAATGCAGAAGAATGAACGCACAACATGTCCATCCTTAAGGCAGAAGACCACACTGGGTGCCACCCCTGTCAGCTAAGAACAGGAAACTGAGGCTAAAATTTGCACACGTTCACCAATATTGGACAAAAGTAAATTGGAAAAACGTTGCCTGCTCTGACGAGTCTCGATTTCTGCGCCGACATTCGGATGGTAGGGTCAGAATTTGCCATAAACAACCTGAAAGCATGAATCCATCCGGCCTTGTATCAACAGTTCAGGCTAGTGGAGGTGTAATGGTGTGAGGGATTTTTTTTGGCACACTTTGGGCCCATTAGTTCCAATCGTGTCAACACCACAGCCTGCCTAAGTATTGTTGCTGACCATGTCCATGCCTTTATGACCACAGTGTACCCATCTTCTGATGACTACTTCCAGCAGGATAACGTGCCATGACTAAAAGCATGTATAATCTCAGACTGGTTTCTTGAACAGGAAAACAAGTTCACTGTACTCAAATGGCCTCCACAGTCACCAGAACTCAATCCAATTGAGCCCTTCTGGGATGTGGTGGAACGGGAGATTCGCATCATGGACGTGCAGCTGACAAATCTGCAGCAACTGCGTGATGCTATCATGTCAATATTGACTATAATCTCTGAGGAATATTTCCAGTATCTTGTTGAATCTATGGCATGAGGGATAAAGGCAGTTCTGATGGCAAAAGGGGGTTAACATGGTACTAGTAAGGTGTATCTAATAAAATGGCCGCAATACATGCATATAACTATAGTTGCAGACATAGTCAACTTGGTCCAGCTTGTTCCAGTATGTTGGACTCTTTCTATATAGCTTCCCACAGTTTCTTGTGAGTCATCTGTGTTTGTTTATATTTATGCATAAGCTGTGTATGTGTACAGTGTATGTGATGTCAATTTTGTCATCAGTGCTGTACATGTGCAGTCCTATTTTGTTAACCAAATAATAAGGTAGTCAGCAAGCTGTCAACACTGAAGTGGACCATTGTTTTATAGGCTGAAAACAACTAGTGGAATAGAAACATCTATTGAAAAATGGCAAAAACAATAGACATTCAGGTTGATGATTGCATGTTTTAGAGAATTAAATAATATCCAGACAGATATACATTCAGACATTCAGGTTTTGAGCAAACATGCCATCAAATTGAGTTTAATTTAAAAGGCTTAGTGTCTTTAACAGGCTGAGAATGTTCAATTTTAGGCCCCACAAAACACGAGGTGGGCCCATTAAAAAGTATTGGATGCAGCTCAGATTGCACTGGACCAGGGGCCTCATGCATCAACGCTGCGTACGCACAAAAACTTTGCGTACGCCAAGTTTCACGTTTAGAATCGCTCACGTTTGGATTTACTAACAATGAACTGAACGTGAGAATGTGCGCAGCTTCACGGCAGCTTTATGGCTGGCGTACGCACATTTTTTGTGCGTGTCTGTTTTATTTCCATTGGCGACTCCTAGAGGCAGTTGTGTTAAATTCCTCTCTACAAAGTGTCTGAGCCTTGCAATGGCAGCTGTATGAGACGGGTTCATCTAGCATGTATATAAGGTTTCCATACCATACAGTTGACCAGCCAAACATTAAAGCACAATTTGCAGCGGTCGCCTGTTTTCCCAATGTAATCTCAGCTATCTACTGCACGCACATTGCTATAAAGACACTATCTGAAGATGAATTTGCATGCGTGAATCAGAAACATTTCCATTCACTAAATGTGCAAATAAAATATGATGCACAAACTTATTAATGATTCCTACTTGTCTTTCTCATGATAAATAGTTGGCACAATCTGATATGTAGCTGGGGAAAAAAGAAAAAAGAGTTCATCAGACGCTGGATTCGAACCGAGTTCATGCTCGAACGTGTCAAAACATATTGACATGCGTTTTACAAGCTGCGCCACTGAGACTGTTAAGGGTATTGCATCATTTTACACCCATAAATCACACCATTTCTCTTTTAACTCCACAGTGCGATGTTCAGACCCAACTATGTTAACCGCATCAGCTAAACTCTCCCCATTCTATTTTTTTCTTTTGTTGTTAATTCCAGAGGACAAATTTGCAAATAACACCGCTTCTCTCCGGTCTACCTCCGAAAGCAGCACCTCCAATTCACATTCTGTTCAAAGTTTCTCTTTTTACTTGCTTTTGCCTTTGCTTTTTCGTTGGGTTTTGCCAAAGTAGAGGCATTTGCATATTCATACGAGGGCGGAGGCAGGGAGGGGTTTTGTGCTCGTGCATGTTGCACTCAGTTTCACGTTCATTCAGATGTACAAAAGAATATGCGTGAGATTCGGCGTACGCAGTGTTTCATACATCTGAATTTTTTTCTGCGTACGCATATTTACAGCTTTGTGCGTACGCAATGTTTTAGTATGATTTCCACGCAAGTCTTAGTACATGAGGCCCCAGGTCTGTATCCAGACCCCTCTTTCTTAAACTAGCATGATGCAGAAGTGCAATGACAAAAGGACAGCATTACCTTTCCTCTGAATCTGGATGGACGAAGACACATCTGTTAGATGAAGAACAGAGGATAATAGAGGACACAGAAACAACCAAGTCACTCATTCGAAGTGTTTATGACATTACCATGTGTATAAAACGTCAATCTCCTCTCCTTAAATGGAACTCACCAAGAAAACGAGCGGCTTCCCACAGTTTTGGTGCATCTGTCATTCCCGGCATTGGCAGAAAATTTGGAGCCATCAATGTAGCCACTTCCAGCTCAACCTGAATGTCTGAATCAGCCTCTGTGGTGGATGCTGTGGAGGTTGATGTCTGTTGAGTTTGCTGAAGCATTGCGAGTCTTGAGTTAGTCGAGTTTTTGACGTCTAAAGAAGAGTCTTGCTCTGCAGAAGGTGCAGTTTTGACTAGGGTGGCTAGCGTTGTGATTTTGACTGGCGCAGAGGAAGTAGAGGTTTTCGATGTACTAGGTGGCATGTGTGTTTGTGTGGTTTTGATGGTGCTAGGAGGAGAGGAGGATGGCTTGGTGGACAGTATGGTAGTGGTGGTTTTAGGTGGTCCTGTAGTGGTCTTCTTTGGGGATAGAGTAAGAATTGTTTTGTTAAGAGAGACAGAGGCGTTAGGTGGTCGATTTGTGGTGTGGAGCCCTGAGAGTGGTGGATGTGCTTGAACAGATTTAGTGACAGGAGGTTTGCTTGTTTTTGGTGGTGAGAGCAGCTTGGATTTTTTGGTTCCCATCGCAGATGTGGAAGATATTTTAGGTGCAACATTAGAGGTCTGATTGCTCATGTTTGCAGAACCTGCTGTGGTACTAGCTGAAGTCTTGCTAGTAGTAGTTATTACTGAAGAGCTAACAGTCGGTTCTGGTTCATCGATATCCGGTTTAATGACAACCAACGAAGTGACTGGTGTTACAAAATTGTTCTCCAGTGACAGATTGGTGGCTTTTTCTACAAGAAGACGCTGTATGGTCACATCCGAGGTGTTCATTTTAGCCAGCAGCAACTCTTTGATTGTAAAGTAAGCCCAGAGCCGATGCACAAAGCTAGGAATGCCATCCAGTGCCTGCCCACAAACCAGAGCCGGATCTGTGCCATTTATAAGTGCTTTGGCCAATGGTAGCTCATTTTCCACTTTCACTTTTTGCTTTGAATCGCTTGCTGTCAGTGTAATCTTCAGATCCCGTACGCCTGGTTTAAGTCGTCCTGTGACTACTAATTCAGAACCCTGGAAGTAGTTGGGGAACAGAGAGCGAGTGATATCATACACCTGATCGTCGAGATAGGACAGCTGGATATCTGAAAGCAGAGGAGTGGCCACTTCGTCATAGAAACCTTTCAGCTGGATAGCTGCATCGTCATCCTCGTATACCTGAAAGACAAAGAAAAACACATTAAAATAATTACAATTTAATAAACATATTTATAATTCATTGTAATCTTTAAATGCATTAACGTTTTGCCAACAATTGTTACATATGTGGATCTTTATGACATAGACCTATGGATGGATGGATCTCTAATTGCCAAATCCCCAATACATTCAGCATCTGGATGAGTGAAATCACATTCCTAAACCAATATATATATATATATATATATATATATATATATATATATATATATATATATATATATATATATATATATATATATATTCACCAGATTCACCATGAAGTGAGAGTTGTTTTCTTACAGTAATGTTGCTGCAGTTATTCAAGTTATTTCATAATTAATTATTGTTGCACAGGAAACAGGTGTCACACATCAAGCAGGTGAGGTTGAATTTAAGTTCATGTTCACTTATCAGTGTTTAGATGCAAATACAGTGGGGAAAATAAGTATTGAATACATCATATTTTTTTCCTTGGAATAATATTTCTAAAGGAGCTGTTCACTTGATTTTGGTAAAAACCCAAACAATACAAACATAAAAATAAAACAAAACAACAACAACAAAAAAAAAAAAACTGAAAAATTAGTTTCGTGTAATAATGAAATGTCACAAGGAGAAAGTTCAGAACTACTGAAATGTATTAATACTTCATAAAAAAAGACTCTTTTGGTGATGACAGCTTAAAGACAACTCTCATATGGTGAATAAAGTCATTGCTCAGGTGTGAGTTTTTCACAGACTTCAACAGAGTGTAAAAATCTTTATGGTTCTGTGGGTCTCGTCTACCAAATCTGATCTTTATTTATTTTTTTTCTATTGGATTCAAGTCAGGTGATTGGCTGGGCCATTCTAAAGCTTGATTTTCTTTCTCTGAAAGCATTTGAGAGTTTCCTTGGCTGTGTTTTGGATCATTGTCTTGCTGAAATGTCCACCCTGGTTTCATCATTATCATCCTGGTAATGTAGATGTTGGACTGAAGCAGCTAATATTCATTTACAATGACAGAGGGTTGTTGAAGAACCACTAAGAGATTTTTGCTGCTGTTTGGGCTTTCCCTGCGTCATTTCATTTTATTACAGATAACTTAATTTGTAAACTAGTTAGATTTATTTTCTTTGCATATGTGGATTTCTTTGGTTGTTACCAACATCCAGGGAAATTTTCAAGTCAACGGCACTTTTAAAAATATGTTTTCTGAGAAAAACGGTGACGTGTTCATTACATATTTTCCCCACCGTACATTCTGAAATTAAACCTGTCGATCATATAAATGATATCTGGTGTCTGTTCAGAATATGGATTAAACCACTCAATTCAAATACATTTATTATTTGATTTGTGAGGGGACATAAATCTCTTATATCTGATTAAAAAACATGTTCATAGGCATTCAGAAGGTGATAGAAATTCTTATGGGTTAGCAACTAAATGATGGTGAATGACTGAATTTTAATTGTGCAATGAACTAACCATTTAGTTTTTAGTTTTGATCCTCAGATTGAATAAGATTAATGCATCAAGAGCTACGTTATAGGGCCATGTGACTACATCATTCTGCATGTATATGTTTGCATGATCCATTATGGTGGGAATTTATGAGAATTTGGGATTCCTTTAACAGTGAGAAAATAAATGAATCATTAATTAACCAAATTTAATAAGGGAAAAATTCCAGTAAGGAATGACTAGCAGGTCATTGAATCATTCATTCAATTGGTTTGTTTTTTAAAAACTGTTTACATTGGAAAGAACAAGAAACTGTGCTTATTAATGGTTAACTGAACCACTTGACCTTATGAAAAACCGAAGTTATGTTCTGTATAATTGTTCTTACCATGCGAGCCACACCTCGATTCTCCAGCGCCAGCCTCCTCAACATTGGAAAATCAGCGTCATCTCCAAAGGCCAAGCCAAATAACGACACCAAACCCAAAGATTTCTGTGCATTATGCAGAATCACATCTGTTTCCGTCTCCCCAATAGTGGCTTCTCCATCGGTCAGAAAGATGATCATAGGCACACGTTGAGAAGATGGTGCACGCCCAGTGGATGAAGATGAACGTGTGGATGGATTTAGCAGTTTAGCTGCCGATAATAGAGCTGCGTTGATGTTTGTCCCTGGTGGTGTAATGAGGAGAAAAAAAAAGTTTATAACAAAATATCTGCTGAATACTGACTTTGGCTTCTCAATCTCCAGATTCACAGAATAAATATTTTTTTTAAAAGTTGTTTCCAGTCCAAACTGGCTACATTAAGATGATGACAAAATAACGCAACCCAGTATCCATACACTAATATTCTCACACACACGCACGCACGCACGCATGCACGCACGCACGCACGCACACACACACACGCACACACACACGCACACACACACGCACACACACACGCACACACACACACACACACACGCACACACACACACACACGCACACGCACACGCACACACACACACACACACACACACACACACACACACACACACTCACGCACACACACACACGCACACACACGCACGCACACGCACGCACGCACACACACGCACGCACACACACACACACGCACACACACACACACACGCGCACACACACACACACACACACACACACACACACACACACACACACACACACACACACATACACACACACACACACACACACACACACACACACACACACACACACACACACACACAAATTCACTATGGCCAATTTAGTTCATCCAATTCACCTATCTGCTTATTAGGTGATGTCACGAGAAGCGGCTTTTGGGTCCAAGCGCTCTATCAAATTATATAGGAGGCTCATCAAATGGTTATATTAAACGCTTACAAAGTGATGTAATACTTTCGAAAATCACGATCACAATACTGTATATATGTCTATGCCTAATATCCGATGGCCTAAAAGTGATACATTTTTTATAAATTGTTAAAACTTTGGTGTTTGTGATGCAGTAAGCCCAGAGAATGATGTGTACACAATGATTTTTTCTATAAAATTCACTAATAAAGTGATCAAACAAATATTTTCTCAATTCAAATGAGTAGCGGCCTGGACCCGAAAACAGTATTCCATACATCACTGATACATCACGACTTAACAAGCGGATAGCTCATGTCTTTGGACTGTGGGGGAAACGAGAGCATGTGAAGGAAATCCATGCTAACATGGGGAAAAGTTGCAAACTCCATACAGAAATGCTACCTAGCCCAGCTGAGGCTCGAACCAGCAAACTCCTTTCTGTGAAGCAACAGTGCTAACTACTGACCCACTGTGCTGCCCTTATTACATTATTACAATATTAATACATGTGTATATTATAAATATTACTATATTAGAATTCCTAAAATATATATATTATAAAAAATTAATTCTGCATAAAAACAATTTATATAAAATAAGTAATTGTAATATTTTTTTATTATTTTACTTATTATATTACTATTCTTTTTAAATTTAAAAACAATAATGTGGAATAATAATAATAAAAATAAATAACAAAATGAATATACAAAATTCACAAGAAACATTATTTTGAGTGACACCAAAAATACTTTTTCTCTTTGATACAGAGGAGACACCTACATCCTGCTGCGATTATCTTCCTGACAAATTCCTTGGCATCCCGTACATTCTGCCGTGTGGCCCGGACAGTTCTGTCTTTCTTCCAGGTGTGGACATCATCTGAGAAAGTGATGAGATTGAAGTAATCTCCTTCGCGTAGGTCACTTAGTATGCTGACCATGGCCGCTTTAGTCTGGTGTAAAAACACAATGGAGGAATACATCATCTTTTCATCTTAATCTCAGCAAGTTATAGTATGTAGTTAAGATGCTACCTGCTTGATTTTTGTCCCAATCATTGAGCCGCTAATGTCAATGACAAAGATGACGTCTTTAGGAACCACAGGAAGTCCTCGAGGTGCAAAATAGTGAACAAAGTAGCCGTCATCCACCTGGAAAAACAGTAAGACCATTATAAGGCTGCATGGAAAACAATGTAGTTCTGGAACCATGAATCAGGCAGGTTATTATTATGAAGACCTGGATGTCCCCCATGGGGTCTTTGAGCTCCACATCATACTGAATGATGAAGTCTGCACTGAGCCCCTTGGGGGAGACATTCCTCTGCTGCTGTATGGAGGGAGTGTAGCGCACATGAGCGCAGTAAGCATTCTGCTTGACCTTAGTTGAAGGAGGAGCTTCTGCATCTGCTAAAAGATCAATCAGGAACAGAAACAAAACCTGTCAAAATTTGGAATAATTGTGATTTTAAGTTGCTGCATTTGTCATCAAAAATTTAATCAAAATTTTTGTCATAAAAAAAAAAAAACAAACATGGCTAAATTTTACAAGTTTAGTTTAGTTTTAGTTTATTTGTTTACAGGGTCAATGGACATTAATAAACATTACTGTAAAATGTGCTAGAATGAGCCAAGAATGGCTATTTTTCATCCGTAGACCCTTTACAGAATGTTAAAAAGTCACACCTAAAGTAGAAGCACAACATTAAACATTAAATACACTTTAATATAAAAAATACAGTTAAAAAAGTAAAGAAAAGAAAAAAAGAAAAGAAAAGAAAAAAAGAACAGACTGATGGCAGCAGAGGACAAAAAGCCAAAGACAACAGTACAAATGTGTCAAGAATACAGTACTAATGCTGACAATGCTGATTTGTCAATAACCAATTTTTAACATGAGACTGAAAAGAACGAAAAGTGCATGATCTTCTAATTGTTGGTGGGATGGAGTTCCATTCCCTAGCAGCTCTCACTGAAAATACAGATTGACTGAATTTGCTTTTTTTGAGAGGAATAATGCAGTCTCCTCTGTCACCTCCTTTAGTAGTTCTGTGAGCAGTCGTTCTAATATTTACAAACTGATTTAACGGTGAAGTCTGGTTATGTAAAGTCTTAAACATTAAACAGATGTGTACATACTTAATTAAATTTCCCCAACTAAGCAGGTTGTATTTCTTTAATATTAAACAATGATGATATTGAACTGATTTCTTATCAAGGGTTTTTATGGATTGTTTGTATAAAGATTCAAGTGGCTTCAGAATAGTGATGCTGGCTTGGGACCAAGTGGTTAAACAATAAGTGATGTAAGAAATGATCATGGAGTGATAATAGATTAGGGCAGCCTCACATGACATCTGATCACGAATAAATCTAAAATTTGCTAAACTGAATCTGACCCGGTTACAAACCTTTTTAACCTGAGACTGAAATGATAGTTTTGAATCTATTAAAACTCCAAGGTACTTGTACTCAGATACAACTTGTAATCTTTCTATTTAAAATAACTTATTTTAAAAGTCATTTATTCTGTCATGGCAAAGTTTAATTTATTGTATCACGCCTCTAGTCAAAGACTATAGAATACACAAAACCTGTCACTCTTATAGGGAAAAATGTAACTGTCAATATGGCGAATGAAGCTCCGCCTTCTAGTACAGGGGCCAATCAGCGATCACTATGGACTGAGGATTCTCCGGGGTAGGGGCTCACACCAGACGTGAGTTTCTGCAGACTTAGTGTGATTCGAACGTTTGGAAATGAAACTATAGAGACAGCTGTTTAATTTCATTGGTGATTCCTAATAGATAAGTTAGATTACCTTGAACGGTGTTGGAGAGCAGTCGGCTAGTTCGCAGTGGCAAAGCTCTGATAAAGCTGATGCCTGTCCTCTCGGATATGCTGACCTCCAGGGATAGGTTTTGCACAGGTTGGCCTGGCCGTAGACCTAGAGAGAGCTCATAACGCCCAAGTCTTCGCGATAACAGCTCCTCATACGACAGAGAGAAGGACACGCGAGCACCAGGAGGAACGTTGACTGCCACACGAAACTTCTCCATCTCGCGTTCCCTTTGGAAAACATCAGAAGTTAACGTGCTCCTTTTCCATGGGTCATAAAAACATTTAAGAATGAAAGTTGTTAAAAACAAATCTCCAATTCTATGAGAAGAACTGCAGGCAGTTTGTCAACACATCCATTTCTTAAACCTGCTTGTTGGGTCAAATCTGAAAAGTAAATGATCTATTGTCATTTTTAGAGCATGCCTGTTATTAAGCTATTAAGGAGATTTGGGACTGACTTGGTGGCAACAAGTCCTGCCGTTTTCCCCTGCTTCTTAGCATTGTCATAGATCTTCCTGGCATCAGTCCTCCTCCTCACCTGAGCCACATACACCTTATGGTTTGATGTGCTGGGAATAAAGAAAACACCAGTTAGAGCAGAAAGAATACATAGCTTGATAATAATAGTTTATATATTTGGTGTATGGTAAAGACTCATGGAAACCATAAAAAAGGGTCTTGAAAATAAGAACACCCTTAAAACAACAAACAAATAAAATGTAAACATTTCTCTCACTTATTATTATCTCAGAACTGCAATATTAACGCAGTCTCATGGCAATTCATAATTTGGTGGCTAATTCGTATATATTCATGAACTAACTCGTACAATTTAGTACTATTTGCTTATCACCCATTGATGGTTGGGTTTCAGGGGCGGTGTTGAGTGCCATGCCTACTTTCTAAAATCATACATTTTCGTACGACTGAACTCGTATGAATTCGTATGAGTTAGCCACTAAACTGACAAAACGTAAAATACTTACATTTTCTCGTGAGATCAGGCGGGCAATATATAAGCTTGTGTTTGCGTGTTAAAGTCAGAACTGTCTGAAATAAAATATTATACACTTTTTTTATGTTTGTTCTTTAAACATTATAAACGTTTTTTTAAGCATCACAATTCTAAGAAACAAAAACTAAGAATCCCGTTCATATCTCACAATTCTGACTGTATAAATATATTTATACAACTTTATATTAAAATTGTAAGAAAATAGTTTGTTTTTTATATATTTTTTATAATTCACAATTATTGAATGCCAATTTTGATTTCATATTTCACAATTCTTAGGTAAAAATCATGAGACAATAAATAAAATACCTATTTCCATTTTTTTTTTATATTCAGTGGCAGAAATGGGCATCAAAAGGGTACAATGTTCTTCCACATGAAGCATGGCATTGTTTTATTTTTATTTATTTAACTGCCAAAGCACTAAAAGCTACACACGGCAGCTTTAAATTAATCTCACAAAAACCTTTTTATGTTTTACTCCTTGACGGAAATGAGCCTTTCACACTAAACAGCTAGTAAAAGAAAAAAGGTGAGCAGAAAATGTAATTTCCCGTTTACAAAACATGATTTACTGAGAAACTGAGAAAAGGCAATCATAGCATTTCCAATCCCCTGAGCTCTGGGTGCAGGAGAATTTCCCCTGCATAAACATCCACACAACTCGATCCATACACTCTTTGTCTCTTTACATCAGAGTCAAGGAGAGAAAATGCTAAAGTAAGGTCAGCACCTATAAGCAAACATATTTAAATATAAATCAACAAGAACCGACCAAAATAAACCAGCAGCTTTGAAAAAGAGCTTGTGTGAAACAGAGCCGGGTGAATGGACAGTTTAAGGCACAGTGGAAAAAATGAGGCGCCTGTATGTATGTGTGGCATGGAGGCGTCTGGGATTACTGTGGATGTGATACTGTGAACACAGAGCACTCAGTCAGTTTAACAAATGCTGCCGCACTAAAGAAACACGTCTGCCGCGGATTTTTGAAAAAGCACCGAGTCTGGTGGAAGCTACTGTCTGTATATGTGCAGCAGTCTGATTCTTTAAACACACACACATATATATACATACATATATATATATATATATATATATATATATATATATATATATATATATATATATATATATATATATATATGTCTGTGATGTATATATTGAAACTTGAAACCTTGCTTTGTTAAGGGATGCTCGTGTACATTCTTCACGCATGTGTGTGTATTTATGTACACGTAAATGTGTGTGCGTGTGTACCTTGGCCATGTGCCTTGGTAAACTCTGCTGGGTAAAAAGGGAGAGTGAACAGAGCCAGTTCTCGTCATTTTCTCTATTAGCTCTCTGAGTTTTCTCGACAAAGCCTGCTATTCATCTGGCCCAATGGTTCTTTACTGTTGACCCACGTCCGCTTCCAAATCCAGCCCCCTGTGTGCTTTATCGAGCTGTTAGGGGGTCTTATTTGTGGTAATTCGTTTATATTTGATATTCTTGGAAAAATAAAAAAAATACCAGAAATCTTGCTCTGGGCAACAAATATGATTTCTTATATGATCTTATATGATTTCTTCATGTCAGTTTGGTCCATTTAAGCTTACCTCTGTTTCGACATTTTTTTTTATTGATAATCAAGTTGTAAAACGAAAAGAATTAGCTAAAAGAATAATTAACTGACAGTTTAAGGGACAGACAAAACGTACAGTACTGTCTTAATTTACTCACTATCATGTTTTTTAGTCTTTATGATATTGTGGATCTTGTATATTATCTTATCTTATGTGGAACTGAGGGGGCATTTTAATCCATAGGGGAGCACTAGACTTGGGGACTGATTTTGGTCTCTTTTGTTCCTTTCATTTAGGCTATTTATTCACATTTATTATTACTTTGCATTAAGTTACTGACCTAAGGCAGTAATATACGTTTTAGTAGTAATAATAATATGCACAGTTTCGCTATTACTGATTTTATTAATGACGGTAATGCAGCGATACCGCTTAATGCAGACGGATCATGGCTTAGTGCCAAACGTGCTTTAAATCATATGTTATTCTTCTTATTTATTTCCATTTTATTTCAAATAACAGGCCTATGAATGTTTAAAGTTTTAGGTAAAGACGTCAAATTATGCCCACATATGCAAGCTGACCCACGATCAGACTATTAGTTTAACAGGTAAATAAATATAGTGAAATCAGCTTAACAGAGTCAAAAAAGTTGACATAAACCAACACAAGTTTTAGGGAAAAGCTAAATGTTACAATCTAATGTCATTTAAAACAATTACTTAGTAACATTTTAAGGCATTAGTGTAGCCAGAAAAATACCTAAAAAAGATACCTAAATTCACAGTTATTACCGTGAAAATTGGTTACATTTTGGCACAGATAACACGCAACTCAGGCTATATAACTTTTTTCATCATTTTAAATGTATTTCGTGATATTGTCCGGTTGTCATTTGTAAACCATCATAAACCATTAGGTTACTAGGCCTACCCGTCATGTTTTTTTATTTATTAAGCCTATTTTAATAGCTTGTTTTCAGGTTATTTTCATTTTAGGGCCATGAGCTACAAATCAAAACAAACTCGATATGCTGACTGTATTTTAGCTCTTAAAGAAGATCTACAATATATTTTATGTTGTTTAATTTTGCATGAGCAAATAGCAGTATAGCCTAAATTACATATTTTTAAAAGATTATCATTCAGTCTGCAGCGCACGTGAGAGGTTTCTCGGTTGATCCGCGGTAAATCCACTTAAGCACTATACCTATTCCATTTATAACACTGCAAACTTGACTTCGCAGGCCGGTCATTTTTAAACGCAAAAGGCGTTTATTAAGTGTTATACCTTGACTGCTGCATAATGGGATGTTTCTCTACACAACTTTAAAAGTGCACTTTTTAGCAATGTCAAAATGAAAGCAAACATTCAAAGAGTTCTGTGTTTTGTCAATTTTAGCTTAATTGTAATAATATTAATAATAATAATAATGAATAAATTTAATTATTATTTATAGTGTAGCCTACTGTGTGACTGTGCAGTGAACTATTTATTTTTATTAAAACATTTTTATTAGAATACATTTTACCTAATAACTAATGTAAAAATTACTGGCAGTTGCGTCTCTGCTAAAATTAATTTAACAGCAAATTTCTTCTGCGTTTTTAGAGCTCAAGAGAGTTGTGTTTAAAGAATTAGTAAACAAAAACATGTTGTGAATTAAGCTGCTCGTCACATGTCACCCACTTTTCTCCCTTGTGAGAAAAAAAAAAACTCGGTCCAGGTCCTGGAGGGCCAGTGTCCGGCACAGTTTAGCTCAAACTCTAATCAAACACACCTGATTATAGATTTATAGTGATCTTGAAGACACTGATTAGCATGTTCAGGTGTGTTTAATTAGTGCTGGAGCTAAACTGTGCAGGACACCGGCCCTCCAGGACCGAGTTTGCTCACCCCTGTCCTAGGGCTTAGTGACCACATACGTGGACAGCACATTTTAACTCTTAAGTGACTATTTAATATACTTTGAATGTTTTATATTTTGTTACAGACGCAGTGTCATCCTGCAACATTTGAAATGTCCCAAACACTAACTTTAAACAGTCCAAAATGGACAAAAAAAATGTAGTTTTTACTCTCTGATAGTCAAAACATGTTCAAAAAACATGTAGATGTTATTAATGCATTCAATAACAGTCAGGAAAAAGTATTTTATGTAAATTCGGACCACGAGTGCACATACAGTTGAAGTCAGAATTATTAGCCCCCCTGAATTATTAGCGCCCCTGTTTATTTTTTCCCCAATTTCTGTTTAATGGAGGGAAGATTGTTTAAGCACATTTCTAAGCATAATAGTTTTAAAAACTTATTTCTAATAACAGATTTATTTTATCTTTGTCATGATGACAGTAAATAATATTTTACTTGATTTTTTTCAAGACACTACTACACAGCTTAAAGTGACATTTAAAGGCTTAACTAGGTTAATAAGGTGAACTAGGCAGGCAAGGGTAATTAGGCAAGTTATTGTATAACAATGGTTTGTTCTGGAGACTATCAAAAAAATAGCTTAAAGGGGCTAATAATTTTGTCCCAAAAATGTTTTTTTTTTTTAATTAATAACTGCTTTTATTCTAGCTGCAATAAAACAAATAAGACTTTCTCCAGAAAAAAAAAATATTATCAGACATCCTGTGAAAATGTCATTGCTCTGTTAAACATCATCTGGGGAATATTTAAAAAAGAAAATAAAAATCAAAAGGGGGCTAATAATTCTGACTTCAACTGTATATGGACATCATTTATCTCTAAAAGTACATCATATCAAAAGATGATACTTAGGTTTTTATTCTAATTAGGTTCCAATAAGCCCAAATAGCAATGCCTAAGCCTAATTTAAAGGCATACATGTAATGTAACTCACCCAAAAATGTACAATTCCTATTCAAAACATGTATGAATTTCTTGCAGAAAAGATGAGAATGTTTTTTTAAATGGTCCACAGTCATCTTCATTAGCATCTTTTGTGTTGAGCAGAAGAAAGAAACTCATAAAAGACAGAGCAAATGGAGAGTGAGCAAATAATTGCATTTTTTTTTTTTGGATGAATTATCCTCTTAAGTACTTAAATGTAACTTTTAAGTATCTTTTAATCAGATATTTTTTTTTTATAACAAAGTACTTCTTTCCACAAGAACAAATCATTAGTACAATTATAACCCTGCTGTGTCTATTCAGGGAAAACTTTCAAACTTAAGCCAAACGAATCTCAACTTAATTGCAGTTTCACTGATCGTTAAACCAATTTGACAGCTGGAATAACTGAAGGAACATGTGGTGCAAATTTGGACTCACATGGTGAAGTTGGATATGAACGCAGACGAGGACAAATCCACCTCAAAGGCTGCTTCCTTAGCAATGTGGAGCTGGTTCCAGACGGTGCTCTCCACTGTAGTTACAGCATAGCGGGACACTACTGAACATCTCACATGGTATTCTGTCACCTTCAGCTAAGGGCACAACAAACACCAAGACATGGAGACATTAATGATAAGTCATTCATACACTTTCCTTCGGCTTAGTCCCTCTATTCATCGGCGGAATGAGCCACCTACTTATCCAGCATATGTTTTACACAGCAGATGCCCTTCTATGCTGCAATACAGTACTGGGAAACATCCATACACACTCATACACTACGGACAATTTAGTTTATTCAATTCACCTATAGCACATGTCTTTGGACTGTGGGGGAAAGCTGAGCACCCGGAGGAAACCCAGGCAACATGGGGAGAACATACAAACTACACACAGAAATGCCAACTGACCCAGCCCAGGCTCGAACCAGTGACCTTCTTGCTGTGAGGCGATTGTACTACCCACTGCCCCACCATGACGAGTCATGTTATATATAAAAAATAAAAATAAAAAAAACACAGAGCTGATGGTCATAATTTTGATTTTGCTATAAAAGGTTATTTTTTGCTATAAACAGAACATTTATAGTCTCATGGATTCATTTTATTGACTTTTTTGGGTCGAAACAATGTGTGACAACTAGCGTAAATCTCCCTATCTGTACACACCAGCATAAACATCTGAAAGCAAGCTGAAATAACATGAATTTGCTTCATTAACTTTCACTCAATGGGAAAATAGATTTCCGTTGGTTAAACTGTATTCCTGACAACCTTTTAGGCTAATTTTGAAGATTTAGTTTTAATGATAACCTACTGTTAGGCCTACACGGAAACTGTGCGCATAGAAGTCCTTAGATTTTAAGCCCATCGTTGAGTCTATTTATTTACTTTTGTTAATGTGTGTACATTTGTATTTATCCCGTTTTTAAACTAATTTCACAAATATTATTGTGATATAATAATAGTAATATTAAAATGTCCATATGATTGTATTACAATAAAGTTTTTAAAGTAATATTTTTTGTTGTTTAGTGTATATTATATGAGAGACTTGCTTTGTTTAACAAATAAGGGGATCTTATTTACTTTGCATTGTAAAGATTAAATAGAAGTTAAAAATGTATAATTTATTTATTTTATATATTAAGTTTTTAGTTATGATACTTCCAAAATAATTCTGCATAAATCTGCAGATTTGTTACAAAACTCTCAGCAGAAATAGCAAAAAATGTCCGCAGATTCTGTCTGGCCCTACCTATTGGAAAAGAAAGGGGTTTACCAGGCAGTTGAGATGTCTGTTAAAAGGGTTAAAAAAATAAATAAATAAAATAATAATAATTATATATATATATATATATATATATATATATATATATATATATATATATATATATATATATATATATATATATATATATATATGATTAGCAAGTTACTGTTCACTCTTCTTGACTTTTGAACAAATATAACAGCTCCATATTTAGAACACCTTAATCTGTTTACTTGAACCTGATTCAGACCACACTGGTCTGGCTACAGAAAAGGCAGTCCATCTAAACTCTCTTTCATGCACTGCATGTTACAAGAAGCTGCGTATTTAATTCAGAGACATGATTAAGTGACACAAACATATTAATCTATTGTAAACGATTCTTGAAAACTTTGCAGACTTACAGTACAAAATGAAGCATAACACACATGAACGGTAACATCCAAGAAATATATAATGGAGGCTCTTTTACTTATTGTGAAACATCCTAATCTGCTTCTGCTTTGCTCTGTCTCGAGTGACAGATTTGGATTGTTGGTCATATTGCTTCTAACTCATGCAAACATTCTCATGTGTTTTACAGGAATAAATATTTGGTTTCTAAGGCATCAAACTCATGTTTGTGCATATAAAAAAACTAAAAGGAAACTGTGGGTCAGAAGGCAAGAACAGTTTTAGGTGCTTTATTAAATCTCACAATAAGCTAAAGAAAAACTACATAACATTTAGATGACTTAAAATAAGACAGTTAAAAATTAAACAAAAACGGTTCATACTGTCATACTCACTGCTGGTTTTGCTGTAGAGGTTTGCCGCCTTGACCTCTGCAAAATGAAAAACAACATGAACTTATTTTATTGGTGTATAATGTGTTTTTATGCCACATTTGGTATGAAAAATATGTGACTCTGAGCCATAACATATTTATTCCCACTCATTCCTTTGTGCCACTTGCCTCTTAGCAAACTTAAAGCCAAAAATGAAAATTCTATCATCATTTACTCACCCTTGTTTCAATTTTTAATGAATTTCTTTCTTCAGTAAAACACAAAAGGTACTTTCAAAAATGTTGTAAACCTTGACTTCTGTAGTATTTGTTTTTCTTACTGTGAATGGTAAATGGTTTCAAGCTTTCTTCAATATATATATATATATATATATATATATATATATATATATATATATATATATATATATATATATATATATATATATATATATATATTAAATAGAAACTCAAAGCTTTGGAACAACTTGAGGGTGAGTAAATGATAAATAAATCTTTGAGTGAATTATCCCTTTAATAAACTATTAAATTACCAACAAAAATGCATTTAGAGACAAATTTGGTGCAAATGTAGAAATAGCTTTAAATACAGATGCCAGTGGTTTTGGTCTTGATCTTGCATTGAAACAGACTGAATCAAAGTCATTCATGAAAGAGGTGGAAATGAACTAAAATGTCAGTACTGTACACACAAGGCCCCTGGAGGATAGTAGATGCTAACTTTACACATAGTTCAATGCTGTGCCAACATATTACCACATCTCCCGGAGATTGCTGCAAACACAAACAAAATATTATCAATGGGAAATAAAATGCACCTTTGCTACCATGGCTTTCCAGTACACACTTTAAATGAAAGGTTCTTTGATAGGCTGTTATTTGTAGGCTATATAGCTGTTAAATAATCTTTCTTTCCACAGTGCGTAAAATGTGAACAGTTGCAAGAATGTATCCGTTTTCCTTGTTTAATCAGGTAGAATGCAATGAGAAAGTTACAACTTTAAGTTTAAAACATCAGACAAAAAACTACATATTTTAGAACGCACACTGTGACTGCAGCTCCCAATGATATATATGAAGTTATTGTTATTAGACGAACTTCAGAAGCTATTTTGTTGCCTCATCTCTATCCCGTTTGACTATTTCCATTATCTATATAAGCTATTATGCAATTAAAGGCTATATTTGAATATTTTAAGAAACCTAATAATTCAATAGAGTTTTATTAGCAGTATAAACACCACACCGTGTTCTGAGAATGAAACAACATTCCACTGGAAACAAAATTCCTAAAATATTTTCGCGCGTAAATGTGATGAGACGCAGTTTCAGTGTTTATGTCACACAAAACATATTCGGTCACTTAAGATAAACATTATATAGCAAGCACAAGTGCCAACTAAATGGAAAATAAGGGAAATTATATGAATTGTAGTACACATACCTGAAGTGGGACCGAGCGCGCGTCCAAGTGCGCGCATCCAGCCGTCAGAAGGATGAAAACAACAGCGTGGACGGTCAAATCCAGTTTAACATCCATGCTTCCAGCGTGTGTGGGAAAGCCAAAACCACTGTTTTGCTCTTAATACGAGTGCGTAAGGTCTTCCACTGACTTCACATTTTACTGCACAAGTTGTTTGTAAAAGGGGTAGTTTTGCCCCCACCCTTCCAAAGAGATCCTAAAAATGATACCGAAGCCACTATAATGCGGTGAGAGAGATGGATGCTCATTTAGACTGGGGAAAAAAACTGTTTTTATGACAAATAGATGCCAATCATGCGCAGGTATTTGTGGGCTTCAGTGGTAGCTCTTTTCACGTGTACATACTGGAAATTTCGCAGAGTCTTGCCATGGTTTTTGAGGGGCACGAAAAACCACAGACATTAACCCATGAATGGCTACAATTCCGAAGACTGTTGCCAGCTTTTCGGCTGTTTCACAATTTCCTAAACCACAATAAATCATCACTATATTTGTCTGTATAAAATATAGCTAACGCTTTACAACAATAGTACATGAATGATGATGTATTAATATGTAAACTAAACATTTGTTTATTATGAATCAATGATGAGTTAATGTATGCGCTAATCATGGACTAAATTTAACTAGGAGTCATAAATTCTTGTGTGAAAGTGCAGTTCATGTGTAACTGCTACCTTAATTAATTGTTAATACATGATTGTTTGTTAATGTATTAATTACCACATTAGTTTATGGTTAACTTAACCATCATTAACTCATGACACAATCATTTATAATTATATCATGACCTTACTTGGAGGGGTACATCATCATTAACCCATTCTTAACTACTCATGTACTGCTTATGTACATCCATCTGTGTTTACACTGAATAACAATAGAAAAGTATTCTGGCAACATCAACAATTTAAACACAGGAGTTCACAAATAGTTAAGGATGAGTTAATGATAATGTGCCCCTCCAAGTAAAGTCATGACATAATGGTAAATTAACAGCTAATGAGTTCATACTGGTTACATTTAGCTAAAACAAAAATGTTAATTAATACATTAACAACATGTAGTAACAAGTAACTAAGGTAAACATTATTTACTGATGAACTGTTGTGACTCATGTTGTCGTTGAAATTAGTTAATGATTAGAGCATGCCTTAACTGATCAGTATGTTTCAGTAATGACATTTCATAATGACAACATTTCAGTCGCATCAGTAATGTTTAGTTTACATATTAATGCATCATTACTCATGCACTGTTATTGTAAAGTGTTCCTAAATATGTCTTTGCTGTAAAGTTTTCAAGTACAGAAGAATGTTTTTTTATTGTGAGTAGCAAAATGGCTTGTGAATGCTCATGTGAAACTGCTTATTTATTTGTTTAATTGCTGTCCTTAGTACTGGAAACTAATTAAATAAGCTTTATGTTGTACTTTATGAATATTGTACTTTATAAATGCATAAACTGATTGTATTCCTAACTAGTTTTGAACATGATATTAAAATGCACAAATTATTAAAAACAAAGGCTATTCACATTCAGAAAATTAGGATTAAGCCTGTCCTAACCAAACATTTGAAAACCAGTAAAATAATGTGCTTTCTTTAGTTATTCCCTCATTTATAATTACAAAGTACCAACATTTCCACTCCATAATATGCAAAGTAACCATCTTATCAACATTCTCATGTGCATTTAATCCAAAAATCGTGTAAAACACAATTAAAAAATACCAACCTCCATTTTGTAATATAAAACAAAAGGTTTAATGGCATTATTTTTGCTTCCATAGTTTTGTTTTATATTGATCAGTTAAAAAATAAAAGTCCCAGATGTGGTCTCATTTGGATCCCACTCTGTTTGTAATTCTTGTTAATCTCAATTAAAACAAATGCTTATGTTCTTTAAAATTCTTCATCCCACATTGTTACTTATAAAGACAACATACACTTTACATGTCACCTAATTGTGCAAAATGGCAAGATTTTTTGTTGTGGTTGTGATTATAGATGTTCAGGAACAGTCGTGAGAGCTTCTTCTGGCTGTCTAGTGATATTCACATTCTGCAATACAAAATAAAAATAATAAAAATCCCATTACACACTCAAACACTGATAATTGTTCCCTACAGAGGGTTTCTTTACTTACAATGGGTTTGTCTCTGTGAGTGTTCACCGCTTGGATGTTTAAATAGAAGGACTCCACTTTACATCCTGCAAGGAAGTCATAAAACAACATGTAAAAAATACATTCAAAGCTCAAAAAAAGTACATGAAACTTCTCATAAATAGTGTAAAAAATACTAAAATACTAAACATAGCATGAGATAATTAGAATTTTACATTTACATTTTACATTTAGTCATTTAGCAGACGCTTTTATCCAAAGCGACTTACAAATGAGGACAAGGAAGCAATTTACACAACTAAGAGCAACAATGAATAAGTACTAAAGGCAAGTTTCAGGTCTGTAAAGTCTAAGAAGGGAAGTGTTAGTAGTTTTTTTTTTTTTTTTTTACAGTTAGTGTTATATTCAAAGAGGCAATTGCAGATTAGGAAGTGAAGTGGAGACTAAATAGTTGAGTTTTTAGTCGTTTCTTGAAAATAGCGAGTGACTCTGCTGTTCTGATGCAGTTAGGGAGTTCATTCCACCAACTGGGCAGATTGAGCGTGAGCGTTCGCGAAAGTGATTTTTTCCCTCTTTGGGATGGAACCACGAGGCGACGTTCATTCACAGAACGCAAGTTTCTGGAGGGCACATAGATCTGCAGAAGTGAGTGCAGATAAGAAGGTGCTAGGCCAGAAGTCACTTTGTAGGCAAACATCAGAGTTTTGAATTTGATGCGAGCAGCAACTGGCAGCCAGTGCAAACGGACTAGCAGCGGAGTGACATGTGCTCGTTTAGGTTCATTGAAGACAACTCGTGCTGCTGAAATTATTTAATTGGTTAAATAATATAATGGCAGTACTGTAGCTCAGTGATTAGCAAGAAGGTTGCTTTTTTGAGTCCCGCCAGGGCCAGTTGGCATTTCTGTGTTTGCATGTTCTCGTGGGTTCCCTCCAGGTGCTCCGGTTTCCCCCACAGTCAAGACATGCAATATAAGTGAATTGGATTAACTGTATTGGCTGAAGTGTATGTGTGAATCAGTGTATGGGTGTTTCCCAGTACTGGGTTACTTAAGGGCATTTGCTGTGTAAAAAACACATGCTGGAATAGTTGGTGATTCATTCCACTGTGGCGACCCCTGATAAAGAAGGCTCTATGTTGAATAAAAATGAATGAATGGATGGCAAATATAATATGTTGTTATAGTCTGTTGCATCCACTCAAGATGGAACATGTTACTGGTTACAATAGGGTTCATGCCATCTTGGATAAGCTTTTTGTCATATGAACAGTGAAGACAGAAAACATATTAGGGCATCTCTGAAAAGAAGCATGATATGGAGTTGCATTGTTTTAGAGTATACATGTGCAGGGCTCACCATAAGCTAATGGAGTCAGTTTGAGAACAGTATGCAGAGGACACTTCAGATATGGAAGACTATCTGTGGAGAAATCAGAGATGTATACTTTCTTTGCACAAATTATGCCTTCACATTGACTGTAGCTAAGTTTGATTAAGACCTGCACTTTTGTCCAGAAAGTAGGCCAGCAGACAACGCATGACTGCCTGATGGCAGATGACCAGCACATTCTCCTGTCTCTCAAGCTCCATTATGACTGGCTCGAGACGGTGCACCAGGTCCTCATATGACTGCAGTAAACAGAAAATGACATATTTACATATACAGTGAAGATCAAAATTAGATAACTTATAAACACAAAACTTTTTTGATATTCATTCTTCAAAATTTGACAAAAATTTCAGTTGCAATTACACCATGCTAGGAGAACGGCATTTTTGTAAAATAATTACAGGGTTTCTCAACCAATTATCAAATTCCCTGAAATTTTACTGACTAAAAAGCTACATAATAAAACCAGCTACGGTTGAGCTTTGCATTATATAAAATGTATTTAAGCTTGAACATTAGGCACTATGAAAACAACACTGAATAATTTACCTAAGGTTTTGGGGGGGGGAAATGGGGTACTTATTATTTGTGTGGTTGTGCTTCCAATTATTAGATGGATAGTAGTTTTACAAACTTTACTTTTTTTCTATTGCCTAGTTTAACATCCATATCTTTTAAGTGGTCTTTTTTGGAAGCCAAAGCTCCTCAAATCTATATTCTACAGACAAGTTAGCCTTAATTAACAGGCACATTAAGGCACACAAATACCCTAACAATAATGAAAGGAATGGGGAAAAATATTTTATTTTGCCATGCAGCTGTATATGAGGCAAAATTGCTGCTGCATCTCCACCTTCCATTGATTCTAGGCTTAATTTAATAGACTGTATATCAACAATCTAGTGAAAACTAAAGTTAGGCTGAGGTTAAATACATAGTCTCTGTCAGATAAATAAGGAGATTACTACCAGGTGCCAGATTTATAGTGTGCTTTAGAATAATTTAACTAATGAAACATGATTTTAAAAAAAAACGCTCTTTTGCTTCAAACATGGCTAAACCTCAAAATTTAGGAATTAGTATTTTGTTCTCTAATTTTGATTTACTATAATTATTCAGACAAAATAACTTGTGTTGTGCATAGGACTCACCTCACCCTTTGGATATCGGTAACGGTACTTATCCTGGTCTCTTAAGGCAAACTCTTCAGGATGGGCTTCCTGAATCTCCTCGTACGTCATTTCCTCGCAAACACCCTTAAAATGTCAATAGAAAAAAATCTTAAAATCCCATTTTGTGTGCATACAGCTTTAACAAAGAGGATGAATAGCTTACAGCATCGATTTCATTCAGTGCCTTCCACTGTTCATACGGGACGCCCAGTGCCTCTGCTGTCTGTATGGTTCTTTTCATGTGGCTCGTCCACACCTTCAGCTCCTTGATGGACTGACCTCTGATGAACTCTGAGAGGGCCTTAGCATACTGATCAACAAGACAGAGAAGTTGTTGTTAAAATGGAAAGATTGAAAACAAATTATGGAAGAACATAGCTTAGTCTTAGTTTAGATTAATTCGAAGTTCATTCATTCATTCTTTAGTTTTCCATCTTGGTGTAGGCAAATTTCTAATGTTGTTATAGTTTCTATTTTAATCTTTTAAATGTTATTCTTTATAAATATGAATATACTTTTAATCAGTCATATTACTACAGATTGTTATATTTCCTATTATTGAAGGTGCTGTAAGTTTTTGACTCTTTAAAAGCTTAAAAATACCATTATATGTTTACAGATATTAAAGAAACATGCCAAGTGAACATTCTTGTTTATCTGAAAACCAATGCGGAAGTCAGTTATTCTGCTTTGAAAAGGTGTTTTCTGTGCCAGAACGTCTTTGTTTTGGTTCTTTTAACTCACCCACTGCCAGTTTAGCCAATTATATTTCTGCACCCCAGGTTGCCTTGGTGGAAAACAGCGCATTTCATTCGCTCAGAAACGCTCTGAAAGCAAGCATCTGTGACTGAAATGCTACCTCCAGTGGACAGAAGCAGACTTTGAAATGAGCCACAGATTCAGTTCCACATGAGGTTTTTAGAATAATTATTCCGAAAGGAAACATTAGGTGAGCAGGGGGCTGTTTCATAAAAGTGATTTAAAAAAGCGGGGATTAAAATCAAAAACCTGACTTCGATGAGCCGAACTAAACGTCCACGCTTAAATTGGTTCCATAACAGCAAGTTGAATATTATTTGATCTAACTAATCTAAGTTCAGTTTAAATAATCTAGATAACTGCTCGTGCACGTTACTGTTATGAAACCCAGAGGGTCGATCATAGATGCCATGGTAACACACAACATAATCGATGCAACTCATGGCAAAGCTCTGAAATGAAATGATCATTTAAACATAATAATAATCATAAACTACAGTACGACTTTCCACAAAGCAAGAGAGAAGGCTGACAGGAAATTGCAGATTTAACATTTAAAAACACTTCTGAGAGATGTTTGATAGAATATTAAGTTGGATAATGCTGATATAAATCACCTTCTGGCCTTGTGAAGAGAGGCCTGAGTCTCCACCAATTCTTCCCAGCAGGTTGAGCTCACTCTCTCCATGGCGGCTAAGGTAAATGGATCGTGGCGTGACGTGGATGTTCATGAGGTAATAGACTATACGACTCTGAATGTGATCCTGAACCCGATTCACAAGGTACCTGGATCCTACGTTGAAGATCTTAATGTAGGAAAGGTGACTATAAAGCAGATACACAGGCAAAAGGGGAGGAAATAAATGAGGGGGGAATAAATGTTGTAAAACGGGATTGTTTTATCTAAATGTAAAAGTTATTACTGTAACTTATTTGAGAGGTTGTTAGCAGTGTACCTGTCTTTTTCATCATCCAGGGGCACATATGAAACTTTGTAACAATCTATGCGCTTCAGAAAGTCCACCAGTGCTTCTTCTTTGTCGTAGTTTTCATAATCTGGGCTGCTCAATTTTACTTGCTGTCAAAATCCATTAAATAAAACAAAATAGAGAATAAAAACAATAAAAAGTCAACTCTGAAATATTTGAAAAATAATCTGAAATGGTTTGTAATTGCTTAATAATAGTTAATAACTTAAAGCTTACCATTATATTTGCCTCGATAATTTCTGGGTCATCACAAATCGACTCAATGAAAAACACCTGGACATAGACAAGTCTATGAATGGTTTTCTTGGCACAAATGTAAACATCATTTTGACTCATTTTCCAATGCTTCCCATACAGTGTTGCATCAAAGAATGTTTACACACTACTACACAGCCTGTTGCATAATGATTATCAAAAATTGAACAATAGCTCAATTCAATAGTGGACATGAAAACAAGAAACTAAACATATCTAACATTAAGCAGACTTTATATTGCTATTAAAACAGCTTTAGTTCACTTCAAAATAATTGAACATACCTTAATTATTACTAAATTTTTAAAGTGATTTAGAGATTTTTTTTAAATACATGGCTATTATCTCTTGAATTGATTTTGAGCTTCATTTTTAAAAGCAGATGGAGCTGTAGGCTAGCTATTAGCTGTACACTCAAATGCTAATGAGAATAAGCACTTAGGCGGAGTCATTTACTGTAAGTAGGCTTTTTCATGTCACAAGTTTAATGTAAACAAGGATTGCTATATGAACACTTTGTATACAGCGTCATCTACTGTTAACAACTATGCTTACAATCCATTTGAGAAAATTTTGAATATCTCCAAAAGTCAAAGTCTATTTCTTGAATGATTTTTCACCACAGCTGTAATTTGACAAATTTATTCTAAGGCTAGTTTTACTAGCATACCATGAATAATTACATTTAAGACAATGTGAAAAAATTTGACTAGGCAGATTCAAGTTTTGTAAAACCTGCCTTGTAGCCTCTCTCCTTGGCAAAACTGATGATGACCCCTCTTCTGTCCCTTGTGGTGTTGGTAGCATCAAACACCTGTGAAGAGTAAATGTCAGAGATTGGTTTGCCTCTTAGGGTGTGTGTTCACACTTTTGCAGATTTAGTTCCACCACACCCTTAATGACTAGTTGACTCATCTTTAAGTATACTTATTCCCAAACTAAGATAATAAAAATATTGCGTTGGGTGAAAATTCAGACAGTCACACACATCTTAAAAATTTGCATTAGCCTGGACAGACAGACATTACATTCTTGACTCACTGCTACTTGTCCCTGCTCCTTGGCAAAGTAATTGCCAATGTCCTTGAGAGCACTTGCGGCACAGGATCTGACACAGATATGTAAGACTAATTTAGTTTTTAGACAATGACATGTAATTTACATGTTAATCTAACCAATCTATTAGATCATGTAATGAAGTAAGGTTACCTGCGGATTGTCATGGCCTCCTCATTGTCTGGACGGAAGAATTCATAGTTCTTGTATGTCTGCACAACCTCTCTTCGATACTGACCCAAATTAAAGACTGCATACAGTGGCATAAAATAAACCTGTTAGCAATAAAAATTAAAAATATGCATACATACACACACAAATATACACTGCATGGCCAAAAAGAGTTGCTGTTTGTCTATAAGGAAGAAAATACTCGTATCATTGCATCTTTATTGCAGCAGTCAATACATTTCTGAATTATGTTTAGTAAAAATGATTTTAACCTAACAGTTGAGGTGCATATTCATTTTAGACGATGTATTTTATGGACAGGGTTGCCAAGTATGCAGTTTTCTCCACAGATTTTGGCAGCTTATCACCATTTGCCACAAGCTAAAAAAATCTATATTTTGCAGATTAAAGTTATTTAAAATATTGTGTTTACTCAGCCAGATTTATATTCTACCAATGACAAAAACTGTGCTAAGATAATAGCACTAACTAGGGGCAGGACTCTCATCATTTTACTAACGGATTTACAACAGATATATTAAATGTTTATATACACTTACCGGCCACTTTATTAGGTACACCTTACTAGTACCGGGTTGGACCCCCTTTTGCCTAAAGAACTGCCTCAATACTTCATGGCATATATTCAACAAGGTACTGGAAATATTCAATGACTAAAATATAAAAGAGATTTAGGTCCATATTGACATGATAGCATCACGCAGTTGCTGCAGATTTGAAGGCTGCACATCTATAAAGCGAATCTCCTGTTCCAGCACATCCCAAAGGTGCTCTCTTTTTGGTGTGGTCTTCTGCTGCTGTAGCTCATCTGCCTTGAAAGTGTTTTGCGATTAGAAATGCTCTTGGTTGTAACGAGTGGTTATTTGAGTTACTGCTGCCTTTCTATCTGCCCATTTTTCTCTGACCTCTGGCATCAACAAGGCATTTGCACCCACAAAACTGCTGCTCACTGGATATTTTCTCTTTTTAGGATCATTCTCTGTAAACCCTAGAGATGGTTGTGTGTGAAATCCCAGTAGATCAGCCGTTTCTGAATTACTCAAACCACCAACAACTATGCAACATTCAAAGTCACTTTAATGATCTTTCTTCCCCATTCTGATGGTTGGTTTGAACTGCAGTAGATCGTCTTGACCATGACTACATGCCTAAATGCATTGAGTTGCTGCCATGTGATTGGCTGATTAGAAATATGTGTTAACAAGCAATTGGACAGGTGTACCTAATAAAGTGGCGGGTGAGTGTTTTTATTGGTTATATTTTTAAAATTCACTCTAGAACATTTCAAGACCTTCAAAGGAGTTCAGATCAATTTGTGGTAAATTTATGAGTGAAAATAAGGCCAATGTGTCAAAATCAGTTCCTTAAGGGCCACAGCTTTGAACAGTTCAGATGCAACCAGCTCCAATTCACACCTGCTTAAGAGTCTATTGTAGTCTTGAACAACTTGATTAGTTTGATTAGAGTTGGAGCAAATCTGTGCAGAGCTACGGCCCTCCAGGAATCAAGTTTCAGACCTATGTACTAAATGCGTCCTAATGACACTGTGCATTGTCCTTCTAAGAAATGACCAAGTGTGATTACAATGAACGCATAGAACAAGTTATAAACATATTAACCACATTGTAGCAAGTTATATAAACAAACATTTCATACAATAAACACACCAAAACTACAACATAGTCACACAACTAATTTCATGCCATTAAGAGCTGATCTATTACCTTGAGTTGGGACTCCAATCCAATTTAAATACCGGGTTAACTTTTTGGAGATGTAGGTCTTTCCCCTTGCTGGTAGTCCAACCATCACAATCATCGTGGGACAGTTTGTAAACTGGGGCCTCGAAGCTGCAAACCAACAGAAAACATGAACATTAAAGTTCAAAGAAGTTGCATTTACTTCAAGATTGAATATTTTCAATATGCATTGTCACTGAGATCATCTCAACACACAAGAGACAGAGAAGGATGGAAGAAAAGGCCTGCTGTCTTGTCGCTTAAAAGCTTTAGACCTTTATTCTGTTGAACACTAAAGAAGATATAAATCCAAAATCAAACAAAAAGTGCTCAGGGGTAGCTTAAATAATGTGTTAGTGCTCTTCGGGTAAAGGATTCATCAAAATAAACAACGGTAACACTTTATTTTGATGGTCCATTTGAGTATTAGTAGACTTAATATTGTTGATACTGCTCCTTCAACAGCCATTTAACGGACTATAAGAAACTTTGCAAGTAAGTCAACTTACCCTAACTGTCTACTTATAATCTAATGAGAATTAGTTGGCATGCAGATGCAATGTAACTTAAATTCAATTAACAGACCATCAAAATAAAGTGTGACCTAAACAGCTAAAGTAAGTCCAAGGCACTAGAAAAATGAATAAATGTATGTATAAATGTCTTTATTAACATGATTATTCCTTGGCCATGTCAATAAAGCCATGTAGATAAAGGCTTTTAATATTTTTCCACTTTTTTCAAGTGGCTTCAACTTGCTTTTTCTGTTTATACTAATGAAGATATTTTGAAGAAATAACCTACGACTTACATAATAGGAAAAACAACTACAATTTCCAGCTTTCTTCAGGCGTGTTTAACAGAAGAAAGTCAAGCAACTTTGGAACAAGTGAAGTGTGAATAAATGACAGAATTTTTAGTTTGGGGTGAACTATTATTGTAAGGTGTATGATGTCTCACATTTCCACAAATGGACAATACAAAAACATTATATTTACACACAGGGGTTTTCCTCCACACCCAGCTGAGTGAAACTGTGGCAAGGCTTGCTCCCCCCATTCCTTCATTTACATTTGGTCAATCTTCCCTAATTCTGTCTCTTCACCCATTCTCCTCTCCTCTTACAGTAGATCAATGTTCTGTATAAATGCAAGAGATTGTACCCATCATGTTAGAGATTATTTGAAACATCTCAGTGCAACTGATAAAATGGTCTCATTCCCACAGAGATAAACATGATCAAAACATTATTGGTAACTTCAGGTGTCTCTCACCCTTTGCAACAGTTGTCCCCTTATCTAAAGTCATCCAGTCAAATTGCCTCTTGTTTCCCACAGCACATTAACTTTAGGAGCCACAAATGAGGGGGTTTATTACCATCTGGGGTCTTCTATTCAAATTACAACTTGCTCCCCACAGGGCACAAGCTCTTCAGATCCAGTAACATTCCACTCATGTAAATCCTCATTGTTGTTTTAAACACCCCTGCGTGGAGGTTTTTCTGTCCTGGTCTGAGTATTTAAGGAAAAGGTTTCTGTATGATTCTGTAACCAGATCAGCATGTATAGTGTGTATATTTTGGATTGTTGTGTAACTGAGTGACATAATATATGAATGAGTGAAGGTAACAAAGAGTTAAAAGGATAATAAATGCACTGAAAACTATTACAGAGATGATCAACAATCGATTTGGCATTACAACCAATACCTTGACATGATAGTAAAACACAATTTCTTTAAATAGTTTGCAGCGAAATCAAGATCTTAGAAAAATGGGTACCTTCAAGGCTGCACAATATATCGTTTCATCATTGGAATGTGCACATCTGCAATAGTCACATCATACAATGTGCAATGTCAAGATTATAGATGACCAGACATCACAATTTTTAACCCTTTAACTGCCTGCTCTAACAAATGGTCGTCTGTTTTAAATAATGACTGTTAATGTCATTTACAGAATGACTGTTTCAAATAATGGTTTACACACACAGCATTGTTGGTTTTCGAAAAAATTCTAACATAATTCTGTTGCACTACTACACTTGATTTAGGTTTTAACTTTAAAAACAAAACAAAAGAAATAAACAAGAAAACATGTTAAATGAGAATCTGAAATATGTTAGGCCATACTTCAAAAAATAAAGATGATTTAGTATTGTATAATGTTTTATTTTGATTATTATTATTTTAAATAAATTGGTCTTACACTTCATATTTTCAGATTTTTCATAGTGTATGTATTAATCCCGGTACTTTTACCATAAACCAACATATCTACCATTTGGTAGAGGCTGACATTTTAGAAATTATGGGATGTGTTGAAACTAAATGCATTGAGTGTGCTAACTAGCGGCATTAGGAGTTAAGAAATGCAATCCAAACATTTTTTTTCTTAGTAGGGCAGTTAAATGGTTAAAAAGATGTGATTTTTTATTTAATTGCAAAGTTTAGGCATTGTGGAGTTAAAGTTCATATTTTGTATAAATTTTTATTCATTATTTTGTTCCTGTTTTAGAAAAAGCGAGTTTAAAGCATGCAGGTGCATGAAATAATAGTTTCAGATTTAACAATAATGTATTGCATTTCATTAAAGACTGAAGTGTTATTTTTTATATTTGTTATATTTCTATAATTATTACACTAGGAGTTCCTCCAAAAAGTACCCTTTTACCTCTTTTGTTTTTGTATTAATCTAGTTTATTATATTTTTTAAAGGTGCACAACACTACAAAATCACTGCAATCAAGTGAAATCAATTTCATACAATATACTGTATATTGCAGAAAAACTAAATATCGCACTGTGTATTTGCCAATATTGTGCAGCCATAAATACAACATAAGTCACTTGGACAAAACAAAAATATCTGTCAAAGGTAAAAGTAGTAGGTATAGTACAGCCTTTTTAAGAACATATAGGAACACACTTAACTGGAAACTGTATATCAGATTATGATAATAACATGTTTTTCAAACAATGCAAATGGAAAACAGATGTGTACAAAAAATATACTAAGATAATAAGCAGTCATGAATCCAGTACTTAAAGGGCTAGTCAATTAAACAATTAAGATTCTTCCACCATTTACTCACCCTTTACTGGTTTCAAACCTTTGAGTTTCTTTGGTTAAACACAAAAGAATTTATTTTGAAGAATGCTGAAAACAGGAAACCATTTGTTTATCCTACTGTGAAAGTCATCAGGGTTCATGAGGGTGTCTTCTTTCATGTTCAACAGAAGAAACTCATAAATGTTTGGAACCACTCGAGGGGGAGGAAATAGTGAATACATTTTCAATTTTGTGTGAACTATCCCATTAATACTCCAGAACTGAACAAATCTCACACTTGCTGCTCAGTACAGCTTCAAGAGTCGACGCTATCAAACAAAAGGCTGAAGTTCACAACACCCAGGTTGATCATCTACAAGAAGTCTATGCTCAGAACACAACAACACAAGGAGCACAAGGAAAAAGCCAATGGAGAAATGGAGAAGGAAAGGCAGGTGAATTAAAACGGGGCTTCACTTACAGCCTCTCCTCTGGCCTAGTGAACCACTCATCCAGGGCACCCATATCTTGAGCAGAGGTGTCTGTGTGAGCTCCTTCTGTTGGGTGGACATGTCAGCGCTGCTCACTGAGTGTTTAGACACTGAGAACACATGGCTGGGATCCCATCAACCCTGTTCCTGCTCAGGTCACCTGACTGACTGAGGAGGGAGGAGCTGGGAGGAAAGAGAGGATTGGCACACTGGAAAGACACAACACTGGCTGCCAATGGCTAATTGACTTAATTAACCCTTTGAAGGCTCTGAGTCTGTCGTTTCTGGGTGGATGAGAAATGTTCCACTCATTTCTAAATAAACAGAAAATGAAAACTTTTCTAGTGTTTGTCTGTATATATTTTTATTTTTAGAAACTGTAACAAGCAGCGTCTTAGTTAGAATGCATAAAAGTAATATAGCCTGATAGCCTGATTTAATATATATATATATATATTATATGTATATAAGTTGTAGTCAGTAATAATCAAGATAATTATTATTTTAGGTAATGCATTCTGAGTGTTTGATTACTTGTATACACTTGTAGATTACTTTATTTATTTAATTAATTATTTGTTTTATTTTTTTCTCCCCAAATTTGTAGGATGGATAAATTAATTTGCATGACATTTACAAGGAATCTCTATATTGTGCACTGAAAATAAATAGTTTACAACCACTTAACTTAAAAAAATTTAATCCAAAAGAATAAATCCAAGGAATACTTATTTTTCCAGCGTGTACAGTGTAAAAGGTGATTAATTACTTAAAGCGAGTAAACCAGTTGCCTTAAAAGCAACAAGTTGACTTTACAAAAATAATGTAAGTAAAGCCATTGTAACTTAACAGTGAAATGTTAAGCTGACTTAATTTTTATAATTATGCAAATTGTACTCACTTTATTTGAAATAAAAGTAAACTAATCACTTCCTTACCAATACACATTTATTATATTTGTTTTGTTTTCCCCCCAGCTTTACTGTATCTTGCAAAATGAAACACAGTAACTAAAATAGATCTGCTCTTCCAAACTCCAGCGAGTCTTCTAAATTCAATACAGGCTTTAATTGTAAATTTATTGACTTTATGAAGCACCAAATATCTACTAAATAGTCTGACACTGTAAAAAAAGTTTAGTTATAATGGATTTACTTGCATTATCTTTGTGGTCAACTTGTTGCTTTTAAGGCAATTGGTTTACTCGCTTTATGCCTGACAATATCCCTGACAATAGGGCAAAAGAACAGGTTCTGTTGTGCAGTGTGTGCTACCCACTGTAGAAGAGACTGCACATGATTGAATGATGGAAATATATGTCAGTATGATGAACCGCAATAATCATCCCTTTATTGATACAGTCCAAGAGTGTGCATGCTCTTTTAGTGCAAGATTATTTCAACCCTGCATGGTTACAGAGAAAGATACAGGAAATCCTTTTTACCAACAGTGATGATCAAATTTTATAACCACTATCATACTAGATGAATTATGCAGAATTTTAATAGTTATTAGATATGGACAAGTGTTTACTTGTTGTTTGAAACTAAAGTGTGCAGTATGAATGCAATTTTATTATTGGTTTTATGTAACTTTTTTATTTTTATCTATTTTTAGTATGGAAAGCTCTGGTGTGACATGTGAATTTCCTTTTGGGAATAATGAAGTCCAACAAACAAGCAAAAAAAAATTGTCCTGTCACCATATCTATTTTTGTTGCATAATTTATTGCACCAGAATTTATTGTGATAAACAATATTATATAAGACAATTTTATGCCACTCATTATACAATGGCAGAATGACAATAGAATCATAATTCAAGTACACTCTTTCAAACAATACATAATTTATTCTTAAAAATATTTCATACACTCTAAAACATATATGACCAATTAGTCGTGACAGCATATGTTTTTAGGTTATTGTAACTGATCAAACTAAGTTAATCATTCATTCCTTCATTTTCTTGTCGGCTTGGTCCCTTCATTAACCCAGGGTTGCCACAGTGGAATGAACCGCCAACTTATCCAGCAAGTTTTTATGCAGCGGATGCCCTTCCAGCCGCAACCCATCTCTGGGAAACATCCACACACACACACACATACATACACACACACTCACTACAGACAATTAGCCAACCCAATTCACCTGTACCACATGTTTTTGGACTGTGGGGGAAACCAGAGCACCCGGAGGAAACCCATGCGAACACAGGAAGAACATGCAAACTCCACACAGAAACGCCAACTGATCCGAGGACCAGCGACCTTTTTGCTGTGAGGTGACATCACTACCTATACTGCGCCACTGCTTCGCCCTATAGTTAATCATGCTCTACCTTAATTTTATAAGTTATGTAAGCTGTTTTAAGTCTGTTTAACATAATATAAGTTTAATGGACTCAACATTAACCTGATTCAGCTTAAAAAATTAAGCCAACCAGGATTTTTTTAACGGTGTATAATTATAGTAAGTTTGAGAATTTATCAATTACACTGTAAAAACATATATGGCAAAGTGATGACAACAAATGCTTTTATGTTACTTTAATTTAAGTTAATCAGGTTTCAATTATTTCTTTTAGTTATACAAAGTTTAACATGATATTTTTAGTCAGTTTGACTGATTTTAGTTGAGATGAAAAGAAAAATGATTTTTGATTGAACTAAAATATTTAAAGCACACTGAAAAATGAGTTCTGCAAACTGTTGCAAACACTTAATAAGGGTTGACTTTAAACAAACAAATTGTCAAAATTACTATAATTATACACTAAAAAATCCTGGTTGCCTTAATTTTTGAAGCTGAATCAGATTAATCTTATGAGTCCATTAAACTTGTATTATGTTAAACTGACTTAAACATCTTACGTAGCTTACGCAATTTAGTAAGAACATGATTAACTTAATCAGTTACAATGACCTAAAAACACATGCTGAAGAAAATGAGTTCTGCAAAACTGCAAACAATTTAAATGGGTTGACTTTAAAAAAACAAATTAAATTTAGCAATGCTCAATTTGTTCAAAACTTAATTTGTTTGTTTAATGTCAGCCCAAAAAAATTGTTTACAACCACTTAACTTAAAAACATTTAGTAAATCCATGAAATCATCTTTGAATCAGTTTTCAGTGCAGGAAGATTTTTTTACAGTGTAGGAAGTGGAGTTAGAATATGAAAACATATTTCCTAAAAAATAAATAAATAAATAAAAAAATAAAAAGATGAATGTGAACTAGACTTGAAATAAAGTTTACATTTTTTATAAAAGTAATTTTAGACTAAATACTACTTTAGTGTAAATACAATAGTGCTTTTATTTAACCATAATGAAACCATACTGAAAATAATTGAGGACACGTTCATGTGTTGTGCGATAAGTTGATATATTGATTATTGTGACAGGCCTGACAAGTGGTGGGATACATACAATAATTTTTCACCCTCCAAGCAAACTACACCAGTGCAATTGCAGTGCAATATTTATTGTATTTCATACAAAATAACAAACATCCCCTGAAAGCTATACCATAAATAAACATTGTTATCTTCAAATGAATCATACTGCTTCATGACCTATTTAACACTAACCAACTTTGGCAAACAGCAGATTTGAGCCGCCTGTTGAGGATGTGGTACATAATAAGATTAGAAAGGGCACAGACAGACTTACAGAGCGTCTGAGAATATGCCTATTCAGGTTGCTTGATCACAGGTGTCATTTGATATCAAGGCCTCAATAGAAGAAGTAGAATCCGCAGTCGTTACCATTTCAGATATATGGGTTATAATATAAGCATTAATGCTCTTTTAACTGTAAAATCCTTAAATTAACTCGACATTTATCATTTAAGAAACTATTTAACTTTTATGACAAGCATATCTAATCTTTATTAACAAGAGAGTGTTCAAATGTTGCCTTTTAAATACTTGTTGGGACAAATTTTGGAAACTGAATTGATATATTTGTTAATGCATTTCACATTTTATATCCTTAAAAAAACTTACTGGCAGCAAAGCATAAAGTTTGAAGTTCAACTCCATATATTGACTAAGAATCGTTCAAAACAACATATCAAACACCTTTATTTATTTGTCCACTCACTATATCTGTTTTTTTTTTCATAGGGTATAAATACACAAAAAATAAACGTTATTTTACAGGTAATTTTCTAGTTTTTTCTAAAACAGTAAAATATCTTTTGTTTTACAGATTTGTTCTGTAATAAAAATTTCTAACATTAAATTGGTATTATGTTATTTTTCTGTTTTTCAAAGGAAATGCTCTGTGTTTTCAGAGAGTAACACATAATTTTATGTTAATATTTACAAATCATTGCTGTAAAAATCGGGAAATAAAAATTCTGTTAAATTGTTTTTTAGTGAAGATAGTAATCATATGAAGATTAACGTGAGGGTAATAATGTCAAATAATAGCCTGTTGTTTGTAGGCTGCATATAATACATGCAATGTAAACTATAAAATGGTTCTTTTACTACTCTAATGATGCTGCTATGCTAATTGTTATGATCACCAGTGATCTAGCAACTTCGGGTTGCTGGAAAACTATACACGCTACTTTAACGAACTACAACTCCCAGCATGCACCTCCCACACAGAAGTTTGTTATGGACTGATTTCAAGGACTAAACTCAGCACACAGACATATCATTTCTGTACCGTTTAGTGAGCATTACGACACGTTTTCCCTTGCCTTGCTGTGTTTGACCCCTTTACTTTGTTATTTTGTTTGCCGCCTTTACGCAAGACGATTCTCTTTATAAACTGCTATTTGATCTTCAATTTTGTTGTGCAGGCATCCTCACATGACACTGACCTTGTTTTTGTTAAATGATGAATAAAATGTGTTATATGTAAAAAAAAATAAATAAAAAAAAGGTTTATAACTATTTTGTATTTGTATTTGTATTATTTTTTATTTGCAAATTGTCTTGGAGTTTAACATACCCTAAAAAAAATTATAAAATAAAATGTATTATAGTTTATAGTTATAGTTACAGTGTTTTTATGACAACAGCAATTTTACCGAAGCTTTTTTAAATCATTCTTTAAAATATTTTTTTTCTGTTTTAAATGTGTGTTAAAAGTGAACAAATTTATGGAATATTTAAAGATTTCATGCATAATTACACGAATTA